GGGTACTGGCTGGGGTTAAAGAGATACACTGAAAAAAAAAAAAAAAAAAAAAGGAGTTGGGGGGAAAAAAAAAAAAAAAGGAATGGAAATACAGAACCAGAATTTTCATGTACTTGGAGGAAGCAACTGTTTAGAGTTTTACTGGTGTTTTTCCTGCCACTGTTTGTTCCTTTTTATGTATAGCTATTTTGGGAGAAGGGGATTTCTATTTCTATGTAGGTTCCTAAACCACATTTATTACTATAGTAACTGTTGTAAATAGCAAAAACACTACTTACCCTTGGCTTTTGTGTATATAATTACTTCTTTGTTGGATAGATGTTTTAAAACAAAAATAGTCAATGCTATAACTAGTATTGAAGCTTCAAAGGGTTGTACCCATGCAAACATAGATTATACTAAGCTCAGTGTAACGATTGAGCTGATTTTATCATGCCTGAGCACAAACTTCTGAAAGAGGTCTCTTCAAGTTATACAAAAGGCTGAAAGAGGTCCTCTCTGTACTCTACTGCACTCAAACCTCATTCATGATCGACATGAAGCTTTCAAACCTTCAGCTACTATCCTGGAAAGAGGGGTCATATACCATTATACCATATACCGTACAAGCATCGTCACATTTCTACTGTCTTAATGAAACCACCACACTGTGAATGGCATTAGCAGCTCAGAAGCTGTTGCTCACGTTGAACAGTTTACAGGAGTGTTACAGGATGGGATTGTACAAGAAGCCATTGCTGCTGGCAGAAGCAATGATTGGAAATGTCTTGCCCTGGAGAGAAGCAGGGACCTCTAGCTGAATTCTGAACTCTGGGAGAGCTGGAGGCTCTTCGCCATTGCAGAGGACCTTGCTCCACAAGAGGCACAAAGCTGCTGCTACTTGCTCTTGATTTCCACTTCTTCAGGAGTTTGGAGATGATGTCTTTAACTGAGACTTGGCTTGCCTAAGGGCAGCGACTTGGTTCCTAAACAACACTGAAGGCAGTTGAGCAAAGCCTTTTTTCTCACAGAAGCAGAATCTCACCTCAGAGTCAACATCATCCGACTTGCAGCCATTTGGCAACCAAGGGGAATTGATCCAAGTATTGCGCTTAGTGAGAGGCTTGGCTCTGTTTAGTTCTGAATTCAGCAGCAACAGGAGCCAAAGCCCAGCCTGGGGGCAAGGTGCTGTTTTTTTCCTGTTCTAGGCAGCTGCTTCCTTACTAGCATAAACTTAGTGGGAACCAAAAGCCTACGTGTGGCATGAGCAGCATGACTCTAGAATTACTATCTACAATATCTTTGTAAGAGGAAGCCTCCTGAGAAGGCCTAGAATCATAACTATAACTTTTCCATCCACTTTGATCAACAAGAGAGCATTTTAGTTGGAATGGGAATTCTGGATGATCGACTAGCAGCTTAGCTTTTGAATACCCAGGTGAACATATTTATCATGTGTGCCCTTCTACCCTGAAAGCATCAAAGCTGGAGGTTGGGGTTTACCTGAAGCTAGGAATTGGAATGTAGGAAAAAGTTTTTACAATGGTTTTCTTATTGAAATGAACCCTTTCCTTCAGCAGTTTACATCAAAGTCTTCCCAGAGGTATCTTTAATAAACACCATTGGTCTGCGGCGCTCCCTTAGGTAAAATTCTTAAAGTTTAAAACGTGGAATCACTTACATGAGAAACCAACACTGCATTAACAAACAAAACGCAGATAGCTTTCTGGAACAACACGATGAAGATTTGTGATGCAGAAGATAACAGTTACGAACCCCACTCTCCACACTGAACCGTCTGGAAAATTAGTCACAAGCCCCAGTGTTTCCAGGGAACATTTTAGTGGTCATTTTGGAAGTCCAACTTCCACAAACAAGGACTTCTACCAGAAAAAGAAACTTGTTCAGGATAAGCAAGTACCAGACATTTGGGGGCAAGGTCATGAATATTTGTCACATAATTACTGCATTCACTATTTGTGTAAGTACCTTAGAAAGATCACAGGTATTAAAATAAAATGGTTATCATCTTCAAATACTTGAACACTATGACACAGGCTCCTCCTAGTGGTAAAAACAGTATCTATTTTGTTGTATGAATATTCAAGCACTATTTATTATTTTAAAGGGAAGTTCTGGAAGGTTTAAAAGTATCTACATTCTTACCACGGCTGAGGAATTCTTACCTAAAGATCAAAATACGGGGAAAATGAAAAAAAACCACATGCAAACTACTGTAATTATTTTTTCTCCAAAGAAAAATTTACATACCTTTTGTGATCTAGGAGTGATACAGTGAAGGTGGAAAGGATGGAAGACGGCACTCTGAAAAATTTACGCTCCGATGTCAGTTTTAAATCCGTATTTGATATCCAGATAACAGCACTGTGTATTTGGTAATGGAAATACTGCAGAGCATGCCTTTGTGTCAGATTAATATGCTACATTCCCATAGTTACAGAACACCTGCTAAGTCATCAAGTACAAGAATGATTTTGTACATTTCAATAATTTCTTCAGTTTTTAAACCTTTCCAGTTGCTCTCATCTGAAAAGCAGAATCTCAGTGTCAGTCTAATTGCTGGGTTTTTTTTTTTTTTTTTTTACTGATTCTTAGTGTGTGCATGTCCACGTGTTTGGTGATGTTAAAGAAATGTCACTCTGCAAGTATTTAGCCACACCTGTTTTTTTTTTTTTTTTATGTCAAAAGAGATGAAGAGCCATTTTTATTATAAGGCACTTTAAAGTCTTACTCTAGACGGCAGTTTCTCAGCAGTCTCAAGTGTACTTCACTACAAGTTTGTACTTTATTATTTTAAGTCACAAAAATACACTTTGAGAAATACAGCGGAAAAAAAAGGGGAAAAAAAGCTGTAGACAGGAAGTGATACTATGCATCATATTGTTATTTTAAACTCTAATCCTCTCCCTATAATTTTAACTAGGTTGAATATGCTAATAGGTCTGCTACCATAATATTTGCAATTTAAAAATTAATATTCCTTACCTAAATGGGATCCAGTAAGTGGAACACCTATTCTAGAACAAAGTGATTTCAGTCATAACTGAAGGATTTTACTTGTAATATAGTAACATCCAGAAGAATATTAGAATTACCAAAATTCAGATTTGTTATAAGAAAATGTATAGATAGTCTTAGAAGACAAAAGAAAGCAAATAAAATAAATACAAAACAGTCAAGGTAACTTCAGGGCTTTTTAAGTTCCCACTTTGTTTTCAAATTAGGCAAGAATGAAGAATCCTTTACTCATTGCTTTTTACTTCGGGGAGGGGGGGGGAATCCTTTTCCATCACAAAAAACAGGGAAAACAGGATTTCAGATGTGTCTGTTTTCCCTATTAATGTTTTTCAGACTCCTTCTTTTAAAGAAGTAATATTGATGTTATGATAGAAGAAAACAACAACAAAGAAATCTTTCACAATAGTTACAACTGTTTGTGTGGAAAAAAATGCAGACTTTGTATTTAGAATTTGTTCTTTTTCATTATTTCATATAAGTGTATGATATGTTTTGTATATAATTTCATTAATTTCAGAATAAGCAGCATCAATAGAAAAGCTAAAGCACAGGAGGATGAAAACCCCATCACTGGTTGAATGATATTTTATTTTCACATTCCGACAGCTGTACAGTTTCTATAAATAGATGTGGTACTACAATATTTACATCACGTCCTCACCCATTACTAGTATATTCCATTCAAAATGGCAGACACCCTGACCAATCCAGACCAGGGTTATTTCTGGGTGCATTTACTCAGAATCCTATGTCAAAACATACAATACATCAGTTTGCATCAGAGCATTTTTTTTCAGTTATTTTACATGTAACATTATTTTTCCTAGACAGTCTCTCTTCCCAGCATCCAAAGAACTTTCTAGACAAGTGCAGTACAGTTCAAGAAAAAAAAAAACAGGGTGCAAAAAACATTCATATTCAGCCTATTTAAAATAAGGAATGTGATGGATACTTCTAACTGAGTGATTTCATTACACATCAACACAGTATTTGCAAGATTCCTTGATACATAGGTACAAACTGACAAAAGCAATAGCTTTAAAAAATTTGAACCAATATAATCCTGCAGGCTTCTGAACATTTTCTGCAGATTGCCATAGAAGTATCCCTGAAGGTATAGTCACAGTCTCAGAACTGCATGTGCTTGCCATGTGCTTTTGCCAATAACAGGTTTACAAGTTTTACCTATCCTTGCTTTCTACTCCCTTTGATTAACTGCTTTAGGTACTGCTATATGCATATGTTAACTCTACTGTTGAGATGCCTGCAAATGTTATCTAAACTAAATTTGAAAATCCACACAACCCAGAAGGTGTCAGAGGGTTTCACAGTATGCTGCCTTCAAAGTTTCTCTGTCTGCACTCCTTTTCCAACTTGAGAAGCAGTCATTTCCACAGATGGACTAATTTAATTGCCAAACTTCAATTGCCCCATGCGATATTTTGAGACTACGGTAACTAAATTGTTCATCTGTACCAAAAGGATATGATGAATTATGTGATGAGAACTTCATGATGGTGAGTGAAAATGAACAACCTAAAAGGAAAACAATAAAGCCACTACATTTAAACAACATGCAGCACCGGACTGCCTCCACTGTTCACAAACCAGAGAATCTGAAAACAGAAGTCTGCAGTTGTAAAGTGATAAATCTGCAACAAGTATCACTAGAAACAAAAAAACAACTGAATTCAAGTTATGTTAGTCATCTTAAAAAATGAGATTCCAAGGAATGGTCAGAGTAAGTCACCCATAGCTGGATGCTGATGCTCAAAAGTGTCTAATTAACAGCTCACATAAAAACTCCATAAAAGATGAATTCAGAAGGAGACTGAGCAGCGACGTCTTAGATTTTCCTACGAGGCAAGACTTGCAGGATCATACATAGATAATCAAGTTCTCAGAGAAGACAGTAGATTGAGCTCTAGCAACAGCAATAAAAATGGGAGTACTGCACGCCACCGTGCCAAAGGGTAGATATTATCCAATATTGTGATCAACTGGAAACCGGCCGAGGTGGTTTGCTTTTGTTTTCTGCCTCTTTCCCACGTATGGCAGCCACATAAGAGAAGAGACACAACACGGAGTAGCAGATCTCATGAGCCTACAGAATTTAAAAAAGGAGACAAATTCTAGATGATTTAGTGTTTACAAAATCCACTGCACAGTTTATATTTTGCTGCATGTCTTTATCCATGAGACAACTACTTTCGTTACAAAGGCTTGAAAAAGTGCCCCATGCTATCTGCTTACTGAGATGAAAAGAGACCACAAGTCTCTTAACAAATAAAAGACCAGTAGAATACAAGCATTAATGCCTTGATAGCATGATTGCGAGTTGTCTTTAAGAACAATACACTAAGCTATAAAATTGGCCAGTTAACAATTAGAAAAAGCAACCTACATATTTGCTCTTGGTTTGTTGTTCAAAGCTATAAGTAATTTTCTGGTAGTGGTGGAAATAGCTAACTAAAAAAGCTGCAAACTAAACATCCAGTACTGTACCTTGGCTCAGGAGACAGTGAAATTCTTCTTTATTCACAGCTGTAACCTCTTTACACCCAATAGTACAAGGACTGGTAATCCTTGTAATTTTTAACCAAAGCTAGTGAATCAATGGATAATAAAAGCTTTTCTTTTTTAATTAAAAAAAAAAAAGAAAAACAACTGCCCCACATTGCAGGTTTTATATAAAGAATACCAATTCATTTTGTCACTATCTGATAGCAGTGAGTTTCACTGTCTAATGGTACATAGAATTAGCAAGATTTACAATTCCTACTTTTAAATGATTAAGTCTGCTATTACTTAACAGAGAATCATCTTATAGTATAGTGATCGGCAGCACAGTTCAGTGAAGGTATGACTGAGACTTGGTTTCCTTAGACTTGGTATTCTGATGATCTTAGAAGTTCTTGCTTTAAAAAGTGAGGTTTATATTTAGCATCTTTCTAATACACAAAACATGTTTTCTTGTATTACAGGGCAAGCTACAACAGCTGGTGTAAAATACCATTCATTTTCATTAAACTAAATGTTTCATTAAATGGTATAGATTCAGCTATCTGCTTCTTAAATCACTCGCATGTATTCTAGGAATTTTGATTCTAACACATTTCTAGCTTGAAGTAATTTATTTCTGTCTCCTTCCCTTAAAGGATGGTGAGCTTCCATACAATCACCACATGAACACACCGCACTTCAGAAGCTAAATAAATGGAGAAATTCAAGTTCTGATGATAATTATTGGCCTCTATTTCTCCCTCATAAGTATACATATGCCTATTAAAATATTATGTGTAGAAGTGTTAAGTATCATCATCAACCGTTGGTGTTCAAAAGTTTTATAAAAATTGAACACTAGAGCACAGCAATAACCCACCTGCATGGCAGGAATCACTGCTTACACCATTCTCTTGCATCTCACTGCTCACTTTCACATGAAGAGGCAGGAATTGTTCATAAACTCAGTGATCATTTTATGTCTCCTTTTCCATCTATTCTGTGGATAAGGGATTGTGGTCTGCTCTGTCATCATTTTAACAGTTTCATCAGCATTTAATGTGTTAAAATTCAAACCAAACCAGCTATCTTGCATCTTTATCTATCTTAATGAATAGCACCACCTTTTCTGCACTACCCATGAGCTCCTCTAGTTTCATGAAAGCAAGAATCACCAAGTTTTGGAGTCTTCCCTTAATTAAGAGCTAACATACAAAGCAGTTTGTTTTACTGCAGTGCTAGCATCGCACACTCTGCAATCTCAATGCAAGTCTCTTCACCACGTGAAAATGTATATATCCTAAAGAACTACTAGAAGGCAACACAGGTGACTCACCATTGGCGTCTTGTACTTGTGGCTCACCACTTCTTTAGTTTCAGGAACTAAAACCGGACGGGCAAGAGACAAAACAAAAAGTTCAAAAAACGAGAGGAAAAAGGGAAAGTAATAGCACAATGTTCCCATAGGAAAGGGAAAGGATGCACACAGACAGCAGCTGCAGGAGCAGGGCACCTCACTATCCCTCACTTCTGGGTATTTTTTTTTCTCTTCATTTAAAATACATGTGTCCTTGAAGATACTGGTAATGACATAATAGATAACTCAGGCTGACAAAAATATTTCGTTGCCTCTCTTTGGAAAACCACAGTAGACATGTGATGGTTCTTACAGACTCTGGCTTTTCTGATACTGCTTATTCCTGTTAGACAGCAGAATTAATGACAAAATACACTTGATGGTAAAATATGCTTAATGCCTGCTACTATAAAACATAAACCGACAACTCCTTAGAAATTTGTCAGTACTCAGTTCCTAAAGATCTTGCCTTCTAGATGTTTGAATCCTTCTCTATAGCATAACAGATCTCAAAAGAACCGTTGGACACTCTGGTAGGAAGTTAGTGAAATACAGAAAAACAAACAAAAAAAAATTAGGGAGAAAAATTTCTACACTGGAAGACTGTCTCCCAGCTATATCTTGAGAGTTTCTGAAGACATTCTTTCTCCTGTCTAGAATGTGTGCGCGCTGGTATTTACTTTAACATCTCAAAAGATTTTCATTGCTTTTGAACAAATTGGCTTAAAACAAAATATTGATTTCAGTTACATGTGTTCTCAAAAAAATCAGGCTTTATTTGATTTCTAGAAGGCTTTATATATAAAGAGCACTAGGGGACGGATGAAAAATCTATTATAGAGAAAATTTCATCCTGCTCCCTTCACTGCCTCCAATTAACAGAAGGGAAGCAGCCATAATACAGCTAAAGAAAATTTGCCTTTTGCTCTCATTCTGGACTGCATAAAAAAGCAAGCTGTAACCCTCCCATTACTGTGCCTTAGACCCACACTTGGTCTATAAATATTGTTGTGAACAGATCCCATGGGAAATCAATAGAAGAGAACAAAGACCACACTAAGAACATACAAAGGGTAAATTTAAAATGTTAAGATCAGTGGAATAAAAAGACCAACTTTGAATACTTTCCTTCCAGAGTAGCTGCAATTTGCCATGGACTTTGTGTCACAACAAAAAAATTTAGAAGCAGCAATATAAAAGTTATGCAAAACCAGATCATACCAGGCTCACAGAGAAAGAGTAAATGTTTTATTACACATAGTAGTAGTGACAGAAAAAGAAACAGAGGCAAATGAGTTCAGCATGAATAACTAGAAAAAGTCCACAACAAAACCTATCCATGCAGATGTCATCTTTTCAACTATGACATGACACAGCTAAACGTTGGGGAGGGAGGGAGAAAGATCACACTCTAGGGGGCCAAAAGTAGGCAGTGCAGACTGGGTTTGAGAAAGTACTCAAAGTATAAATCAGTGCCTATCAGTTCCAGGATGCCATGATATTGTCATTTCTTAAAAGATAAAGTAAAAAGTACAGTTTATGATCATGCAAGTAATATAACTTTTTTTTTTCTTTAATTTTAAACTCTCCCTTTTCTTTGAGAGGGGGCAGTTACATTAAGGACTGAAAAACAGTGCAAGTGCACACCCAGGCTGCGCTGCTCCAGTGATACCAGTGACTAGAGTTGGGAAGATAACAAGGTGCACATCCAAGCTACCTTACCCATTGGTACCAGACGTTCCAAATTAACTCCACGTCATGAGGGGATAAAGATGGGAGTGAGACTGATGCACAGCCAAATAGGGTAGGATATTAACAGCTGTGTAAGTCTCACTGCCCACTGGATAACATAAAATTGCTCATATACTCTTTAGAAAGCAGGAAGGGGAAGCTGTAATGACCTTGTGCCATGAGGGACGGAGAGAAGGGAAGTTGTAAAGTCCTGTACCGTAATTGAGAATAGGAGGAGAAAGAAGAGGAGACTATCTAGGCAAGGTACTCTCTCCCCACTTCACAGTTGCCTTGTCTTTAAGTGAAATACTCCTTCATAGCTCTTCCAATTGGGAAAACTGTCCCGAGAGGATTGAATTAGGAAGAACAGAAAAAGTTGGTTTGGATTTACGCTCATAGAAGTCAAAGCACTACCACTGCAGAATACAAAAGAAAAAAAAAAAACCCAAACAAGCCTAAAATTAAGAAATTACCAGAAGCACTTTTTTCTAACATTAAAACTTATTCCTGATGTTATTGAACTAAGTGGATGAAGGGAGTAAGTTACAAAGCACCATCCTGCAGCCTTTAGTCCTGTGAATGAAAACACGGCACTAGCAGAGAACGAGATCAGGGGACATCACTTTACCTGCTGGAGAATGAAGGTTTTCATAGCAGCGGCAGTGAAGGGGCCACAAGAAAGTAAAGCACAAGTACACAGCAGTAACTCAAATTCCAGAGGGAAGAGCCTTACGTTTCCTCACTTACTTTAAATCTCCAATTCCATTTGTGGGCAACAACTGCTGACTTCTGCTTTCATTCTGCTCTAAAATCACAGGTTCAACCTCCATGCTGCCATCTAAACCCAATGTTAACACAAGCAGGCCTTTAATTTCCTGCTAACTTGGATAACACTACAGTCAGAGCACTTACGCCTGGCAAAAATCAACTGAAAGAATCTTGCACTGAAGTACCTCCCATCAGATTAGAGTACACATGCTTACCACCCTCTACCTCTCTTAGAGGAAATACTACTTCAGTTACCTTTCACTCTGTATATAGAATCTAATGCAAGGTTCAGTAAAGTGTAACACAGCTCAGTAACTTCATTGTTAAGATCTCTATGAAACTTGGTGAATGCTATTATTTTACTCTTAGCAATTTAAAACGTTAATTTCTCTTGAACAGAACAGACTGACATGCCTTCTCATCTTTACAGCACTTAAGAGCAGCTCTGAGATAGTTGCCCATCTCCGACCAAGAAGAAAAGTTAGCCCCTCTGCAACATCCTTCTCCTTTCTGCTTTCTCTTTATTAAGTGGATGGGCAAATTGTAAATCTCATCTGATACGTATAAATTGGTTCTTGTATGTGACCTCTGTTTTAGCAGGTGGGAGGGAACGGTATTTTTAATTCATAAATGATTTAATTTCTTAGCTTGTATTTGCAGTGTCAAACTCCCAATTTATCTTTTTCTTAGTTCCAGAAGTTTCAAATCACAATGCTAGTTTTGGCAATAGTTCCTTCATTACAAAATTTTATTTAAAAAAATAATTTCTTTCGTATAGTTATTATTTAGGAAGCTACATTCCAGAGTTGTCAACTGCAGCTGATCAGGAATAACTAAGTCAAACATTGTCTTTCTTCTTGTGCATTCTAAACAATTAAAAGAACTTTAAGTTATAACTACCTCTCCTGAAATGATCCAAAAAGTGACTTCCTGTAAGTTAAACATCTCAACAGCTGAAGTCATATTTTTAGCTAATTGTATGGCTTCTCAACTCTTATCTTTGTAAAACTCGTCATTACTCTTTTACAGCCTTAAGCATTTTCTACCAGAAGTGAATCATGCCTGTCAGTTTGAAAATACAGTCTCAAAAGAATTTACAACTGCACAGTGTGGAAAATTTTTGCATGTCTAAACTATTAGAAATTTCTCTAGGTGTTACATACACTGATTTGGTATTTTGAATAATTAACAGCATTATCTGAAAAGGGAAGAAAAAATTGTTCATCAATTCAAATCCCAAACTTCTAGAAGACCAGGTTAATTTGTGACAAACAACAAAACAAACTGCAATGACTGAAAAGCCTTTTCAAATACAAATAACTTTGTATCACCAGAAGGAGACAACATATTATTAAGGACAAAGACCTTAAGTTAGCAGCTTCATATTACATTTCTTTTATATTGTAAGAGAGAATCCATCAATCAGGACCTTTTACCCACAGCACCAAAGATCAATCTTGGCAGAGAGCACTGCTAATTTAGATTTTGATTCGCGACCAAAGCGTAGATGCTGATCTACTACAGAAATGATATTGTAAATTTTATCTTCTTTGTAAATGTTTTATTCATGCACCTAAGACTAGACAAATGTCTCATGGATGGGTGGAAGAATAAATCAATACATAGTTGGGGACTGTTCAAGAGAAGTATATCGTTCACTATTCTGGAGAGCTGCATCTGAAGATGCCCTTTTTTCAGACACTAGTTCAGTATAGCCTGAATGATACTAGCACTCAACAGTAGCCCAGGACTTTCCCAAAGTAGACTGTAGGATGACTATATGTAATAGCAATTACTGACTAAACAGCACAAATTCTCCACTCTCCTTAATCTTTACTTTTCCATTCTCCACCAGTCATGCTCTGAAACCAAAAATCACAGACTACAGTGCAACCTGACCAAATGTCCTCTGCCCCATAAAACAAAAATGAAACTCCACATAAGAGCAAAGAGGAAATTTTGCAATTAGCACTAATACTCAGTAATGAAAGAATAGTGTGCTGAGAAGGATCAACTATAAGTCAGGCTTAAAACGTGGTTTCTGAGGAGAAAAAGTAACATACCAAAGAAAATTCCTACACACAAGTCTTTCGTGATTAATTGCTGTTTTGTTTAGTTTGCAAAACTCAGAACACCTTCTTTGCCTACTAACAAAAAGCATCTAGGCCACAAATCTTAATATGATGAAAATGAAAGTGTAAATGTTTACATTTAAGTCACCCATCTCCCAGTTAGGCAACTTCTTTCATGCAATCATCTACCAACTGCAGTGCAACTCTGAATCTGAAGACTGGAAATTTGAGTTACTGCCATGTAAGTACAGACCTAATATCAAAATAATGTAATTACCAAATTCCTCCAGGACAAAGACTCCTCGCACAGTATTGCACTTTTTAATGTGATTCAGCTCCTATGAAAACCTATTAAAAAAAAAAGGAGGGAAAATAACACAAAATTAGTCAGAGGGTTGTTTTTAATTAAAATTAAAAATAAACAAAAATATCACCACAGCAGATATAATCTGGTGTTGTAGCATACAGTACCAGTTTACTTACAGTTTAATATATAAATAAAGGGTGAAATAAACATTCAAAAGACAAACTTGCCACAATGCTAGAAATCAACATATAACTTAAAAGTGCTAAGAAGCGAAGACAGCAGAAGATGAAGTACCTTCCGCTCCTTGCAGGAGGAGAAAGCATGGAAGAGAAACGAAGGAGTTAGTAACTCTGACATATCCAACATTGCTACCCCTTCAGGCACTCAAATGAGTAATTGCAAAAAGAATACCAACACACTGAAGTACAACAGAAGAGGGGGACAAGATAAAAAAAGCAGGCTCCCAAATTTTGGCATGATTTGTAGCCTCCGATTCATCCCAGTTAAGTTTCTGCCCCTCCATGCATCCTCCTCCAGCACAGAGGGCAGGTAAGGGGCACTGTGCTTCCCACCCTGATCCTCCTAAACCATCAAGGAGTCAGATTTAATCCAGTAAGAAACCACTAGTCTTCCTCTTTGCTGACAGAATTGCCATTTAAGATTTAGCTACAGTTTTAGGATACAATGTGTGTGCTTACTCTTGAAACTGACTCCTGAAGAGTCAGTACCAGTTTTCTGCTTCAAACAGCATGGGAGTGTTCAGATCCTTCTCTATTGTTTGCTCGCTTCACACAGTGCCGCTGTCAGGTAAGAAGTCACTTAGAAAACAGAACTGGTTCTAATTCACGTTTTACAAATACAAATCCAAAGAGACAAAACAATTGAACTACATCACTAGGTTTTTCAGTCTAGAACCTAGATGCCACGTTGGCACGAACAAACAAGTTCTCAGAGCATAAGGAGCTTTTCAATATCCAATATAATTCAAGCTATTAAAAAGTCCCTTCTCATATGCATGTACACCCTGGATAGGTTAGATCTCCAAAAGGAGAAGACAGAGCACATGGGTATAAGAAGCTGCTGTACAAAGCATCATAAGGATCAATTCCATATTCCAGATTCTGATATACTTGTTTTTTCAGGTAAGAGAAACACCAAGAATAACATTCAACACCTTAAAGACCCTAACAGGACTATGTTACAGTAGCCTGGACTGATACTTTCAGTTCCTACACACTTACAAAGCCATGATCTTACGACCTTATTTTAAAAAATAATAATTATTGGGGAAATTACATTGACTGGGAGAGAAGGGAAAGGAAATCTCTGCAGTTCTTTTCAATCCAACACTAGTAGCACCCTTTTAGCCCTAGATGATAAGTTACCTAAGAAAGGCAAAGGAAGCCAACACCACAAATCACATCAACTGAGTGTGAGCGTTAAAGAAACAGTCTTATCAGTATCACAGAATCGTTGAGGTTAGAAGGGACCTGTGGAGATCAACCAGTCCAACCCTCCTGCTCTAGCAGGGTCACCTAGAGCATATTACCCAGGACTGCGTCCAGATAGCTTTTGAATATCTCCAGGGAAGGAGACTCCACAACCTCTCTGGGCAACCTGTTCCCAGTGATCAGTCACCCTCACAGGAAAGAAGTTTTTCCTCACGTTCAGACGGAACTTCCTATGTTTCAATTTGTGCTCATTGCCTCTTATCCTATTGCTGGGCACCACTGAGAAGAGTCTGGCCCCATCCTCTTGACACCCTCCCTTCGGATACTTACACACATTGACCAGATCCCCCAGCCTCAGTATTCTCTTCTCCAGGCTGAACAGGCCCAGCTCTCTCAGCCTTTCCTCATATGAGAAATGCTCCAGTCCCCTGATCAACAGGGGTCAGTAAATGGGATCACCATATGTTTTGGACAAGTTGCACTGATTTTCAATCAGAAGGGTTTTTACTATTATTTTTAATCAACAAAGAACTGAAATAACCCCAGGATACTTTTTGCACAGCATGAAAAACTACACTTTCAGTTACTTCATCAGAGAACCTGTAACTTCTCTTGCTTACATTCAAGCACTCAGAGATCTAAGGACAAATAATCAACCTATTTTTTGTCTATTTGTCTACTTTCACGGGTGTTCTATGTCAGTTTATTTGTTAAAAGCTTTTTTTTTTTCCTTTGAGGGAGAGTGACAAGATACAAGACAACAACAGAAAACTTAATTTTTTGTTGCACTCAAATAGCTTTCGTTTTCTGTAATATTTTTCTATGAAGAGTTTCTGCTAGAAGTCTAACACACAAAATTCAGAAACTCAATAGAAATGCTCAGGTGAAGCACTGGTTGTTTTTACCTGATAATAGTAAAGCTGCCTGAAAAAAGATACGATTCCCCGGATGGTCCTGATCTAGTCGAGTGTAATATTAGGGAAAGCTGTATTTCCACAAAAGATGGGAATTTATAGAGTTTGTCACAATTATACTAAGTTATCAATTTTAAGACGACAGTTATACTTATGGGTTGATGGGCAATTTCTCGCTATACATTTTATAATGCTGCACTGCTCAAGGGACAGAGATGGTCTCCTCTCAGTCAGAAAACAAGCAAGTGCGTAAAGGAAATAACAGTTACTTACCCTACAGAAACTGTGGTTCTTCAAGACAGAGCAGTCAGTGTGGATCCTACTGTAGGTGGGCATGTGCCTGCTGCATTATATTATATTTCCATCTGTTTTTACCCCAGCTGAATTCATAACAGGGACAGAGTCGCTGAGACCCAATAGTATAACATACTTTATAGATGTAAGCTCAGAATTTTGTGAATAGTATGCCAACGCCATAGGTACACTTGATTCCTCCTTATTACAAAGGACTTCCTCTGACCTGCCAAGCACAGACAGACTTGAACATTCTTTTTAAACTTATGAGTACTACCAGCATGGTGAGACAATTTGTGAACACCGTTAGTGCTACTGATGGGCCAAAAGAGAACTATCATATGACGGTAACAGGCTGGCCCACCACACACCTAAGACATTTCCTGGGGAATTGACACGAGGCAGTGAGAAAGTACATAAGTTGCAAATCAAGAGCCTTCAGAAATAGTTTGATGAAAGCAAGCACCATTTTAACACTGAAGCATATAGTATAGAACAGATTCCTCCCCGCCTTTTTTTTTTTTTCCCCTTTTTGAATGAAAAGGAGTAGAAACCCATATTCATATATTCTAAATGAATTATTTCTACGACTTCCAAGCAGAGCAACAAAATCTCTCTTTGTAAGAGGCCTTCTTGAAGAGAGTTGGAAAGAATACCAAGAAGGGAGCTTGGATATGGCGCAAGCAAAGGAAGATGAAGAGGCAGCTATGGCTGATCAGGTCTTGTAGGCATTTGTTGGTCAGTAGCTCCACCCAAACTCAACAGAATTAGGCAATTTTCTACACAGGGAACTGGCTGCAGGATTTTGTTTTTAATTATGCTCATAAATATGTTCCCAAATCAACTGCCTTCGGGAGCTTGATATATAATAAATGAAAAGGACAATTTATCTAGAACAATAGATCTTTTATTAAGGCGGCAGTCTGGTTGGTAAGCATTAGAATGAGAAAGCAAATATCCTTCACCTCCACAGATAATGGAACTGGAGGGGAATTTTTTATGTGGTGCAACTAGTAGTAGTGCTTTACACAACTGCTACAGTTCTCCATTCTGTGCAGACCTTCAAATGGCAGACTTTTGATGTCTGCCTAGACCCTTTCTTTTGAGACTGAAGAAAACCAGGACATACATTAGGTCCACTAAAAGGTACTGAATACCCTTGACAATTGGCAATGTAAATCCAATGGACCCAAGAGTTAAACATATCGAATAAAGAAATTGTATTCTCCAGAACCGTATTGTTTCAATACCCATTTTAAGCAATGGAAACTCATCTGGCAACAGCCTCATTGAAAAATGGATGAAGAGGAGGAAGAATCTTTCAGGTAAGGAAGATAGGTGGCATAACTCCTGGGCCTCACCTGACAACTTGCACATACTGTCTTCTGGAAAAGATGTGGTAATTTTCATCACTGACAGCAAATTAGAATATTCTATTCTATAAGGAAGGATTTGACAAGGCTACTGCTCTAGAAGTGCCGATTGTAACATAGGACCTGTGTGTCTGTGGTGTCAAATTGAACCAGCAGCAGTCCTGTCAGTCTGATAGCAATAATCGGTACTAGATATCTCTACTTTCTTTCAGAATGTCATTCCAGTCTTTCAGAAAAGAGAGCCTTTGAACTTGAGGACAAAGGAACGTTCTAGGATTTAGAGTCTTTCTTCTGGACAGACAATATGCTTGTGCTCAGCATATACTCAACGTGAAGCGTTATCTGTCCTGTGAAGATGCCTCTTCCACTCAAGATACCACACCATTAATGATGTCGCTACCTTCCTATATCTGATCTCCCTGCAACTGCAAATATGCCAGACTGCTCATTCAAGAAATCAAGTCATCTCCACAGACTCCTCAGAGATGAGCAGTTTGAGCTGAGTATCTTTCTCGACTTAGCAGCAGAAGAAAGAGAAGGAGCAAACCAAACATTTCTTGGGGTGTGTCTGTACCCGAGGCAAGAGTAACTTCTGTTATGCCCATCTGTAAATGGCATCAAACTGTTGCTTGAAGAGCCAGTTTTAATCTTCAAGGCTTTAGGCCCGCCATTTCCAATACCTATGAAAATTCATTCTGTAATGCTAATGAGTCTCTCTTGCTGTTACTATTTTGGCATATCCAATAAAAGTTAAACTCCGAGTCATACCGGTAGACACTGTTTCATCAGAAAGTAGAAATACTTTTGAAATACTACAGCAGGTTAGCTGTAAGGCCAGGTTCCACTTTGGTAACAGAAAGGAAGAAAACTGAAGAACGTTCACAACCACTTCATCCTTTATACTAGCACATAACAGCCTGAAGAGGCACATTGTGTTGCTGTGACTTTGGGAAAAGTATTAAATAAAGATTCTGAGAATTTGTGTTTGAGATGCATATACACTTCCAGTGGGATCTACACTGATACACAGTTAAAGAGGAGCAAAAGTTTGAGGGGAGGAGAAAGGGGGGAGGAGGGGGAGAGAGAAAAAAAAAAACTCCACAGAACACTGGCTAACAGAAGCTTTTCTTTCACACACGCACACACTCCTAAAAATGGACTCTACTGTCTAGCACAGCACGCCTTTAATAACATATGCAAAACAAACAAACACAAAGCAAAAGAAAAAACAAGGATCAAAGGAAGCAACAGAAACCACATCCAGAAAGGAAGAAATGACAGTTCTAGTTGTGTTTCCTCTATGCCCACAGCATCTGCTATTTGGAAGGAAAAAAGAATAAGTAATTTATTCTTATCTTTGTGAATTACAGCAAGGGCCACTTCCATATTTTATTTTCATACTAGATTCTACAGATGTGCCCTCATTTTTAAAAACAAAATGGATTAAATATGATGCAAATGATTGCCATCTATACCCACAAAAGTCAAACACTATCTGTAAGGTTGACTGCTTGTGCCACCAAGGTATGTTCATGATGTGATGAGTTACAGCAGGTCTAGATTATTACTGATCACTTTTTCCTCCTGTAATATGATGTCTACCATTTGTTTTTTGCCTAGACAATTCTGACTCTCAGAAGTTTGCACCTGTATCCATTTTTTTTTTCCTTCAATTGATTATAGTTCTCCTAGGACTATCTCATGTCAGAGAACATGCATGTGTGTGTGTGTATACATACATAATTTTTTAAACACAAACACGTGTGTGTATATATATGTATGTACGTACGTACGTACACAGAGTGAGTGTACGATCACAGATCACATGCACACACACACAGAGTTACACTGCCCCTTGTCCTTGCTGATACACTGGGAAGAGGAAACACAGATGCAGGCGTGCTGCGAAAAGCTTCATGCTCACACAGTCTTGCTATAGATTTCCCTCCTACCTGACTGTGCATAAATTTCAGGTTAATTCCTTCCAGTGTGACCTGGAGAAGACCTCCTTCACCAGTTTTCATATCCTGCACAGGGAACTCACCACCCAACTCAGGGCCTGTAATATGTTAGCGAAAAAAATAAAAAATTCACAAAAAGCAGTCAGCCAAATATATGTGCAAGGCAAAAATATACAACAATAAAAACAATTTTTTCATTTGATGTATATAGAAACAGGGCACTAAGAACAGTAAGGAGCATTTCAGTAGAGTCCATTCATGACAGCCTTCCGAGAACACTGGAGCTTTAATTTCCATAACAAATTTAATCCTGGTTATGTGCAAGGGATCACATCTAGATCAGCTCAGGCTGTATTTATTGTAGCTTATAGTAAGCGAATTTTTCAGATGCCAGCTTTCTTTTCTGCATGGTAAAGCACTGCAATCACACAGTACCCTAGACAGCATACTATTCAGTACAAACACCAAAGCAAGCAAAAGCCAGGGCTAAAGTTTTGAGTTTGGTGATTTTATATGGCGATATCTTATGGTTACAAGAATGAAAATGTCATTATGCTTACAACAACGACAACAATTTAACAGAAGAGATTAAAAGATGAAAATCTAGGCATTTTCATCTAGTTTCTTTTCCATCATTCATTTTTAGCAAGAAAATACTTTTCAATAATATTTTTTTCAATTATTTTTTGTGCAGAAAAACTAGAGGAATTGCTTTCAAACACATCTTCAATACTATATTATTGCCAAATTCTTAAAATAGTTTCCAGAGACATTTTTGCCTCCTCTGCCCCCAGTGAAAGTGTCATCCTCCCCCATTCCTCAACTAAAACTAGACTAACATCAGGATGAAGAAAATGGTTGCTCTTCCAAGCTCCAACAGCTAGCTGAGGGCTGAATACTTAGGATGCTAAATTAAAACACAAGTCATTTTCTCAATCATGCTGATTCCAGACGTAAATATACTGTAGATCCCTTAGATTTGGCATCATTTAAGGCACAACTAAAATAGGCTTGTATCTCAAAGCATGGCTCCGAGGGTCCTGGCATCCACTTAAAGAAACAGCTGCAAAAACAACAACAAACCACACCTGAAAACACAAACAAACATTGATGTTACCCTGAATCCGCAAGACCGCAGCAAGTGAGAAGCAACCATCATTAAGAACCAGGTAAAAAATGAGCCAGCTTCACGTTTAATCTCCAAGTATGGGTAGATATAGCACCCGCTGCTCTCTGGGGACTAATAGAAATGGAAAACTACCTGCCCAAGAGCTCAGACAGTGTTAGTCTCTCACAACTGCAAATCTACTTTTCTGAGTAAGGGGTGTTTGCCAAGGAAAGTTTTATCAGTATAATTATACTATCCTGTCCCAAATGATGATGCTAAACCAAAAAGACAGTCTACATGGGAGGAGTCATAATGATAAAAGGATATTGGCTTAAGTGCATTGCTTGGCTTATACCAGTTTGAGACTTTCCAATATAAAAAAGGCTTACACACTGAAAGTCCGCAGAAAGCTACAAATCCATAACTGTAGATTCATTAATACAAACGGACATATATATTAGACTACATTCTCAAAAGAAAGTAAGTGGACATAAGGAGTAGCTTGCCAGCCATGAAGAGAAAGTCAAACTGAAGTATCATAAGGGAGTATTTTCAAGTTACTATTTTACTGGTAGCTAGTCCTCCTTACATACAACTCTTGTTTATACAGGTGCTTGGCTTTTGCTTGGATTTGGAGTGAGGTATACGGGGGAAAACTAATGACAAGAGTTAAGTCTGCTGCATACGCACAGGCAGATGACAAAGCTACCCTTAGATTTCTAAATAAAAGGACATTATGTTCAAATAAATTATTAATAGAAAAGTTGGTTGATCACACATTAAACAAGAAAAATTCCCAACATGCAAAAATCTTTTACCTGGTTTAATGCTTTGCTGCCTTGCTGCGGCTCGCTCCATGCTGTCTTTTACACAGTAGTATAATTCTCGACACTAACATATAAAAGAAGAGTAACACAATGTTATTTTCCAAAATTACTAAGGGAAGAGAACAGCAATATTCCACAAAAAGAACAAGTCCATGGGACTTAACCCAAAAAGTATATAAAAAGCTCAATCACAGCTAATTTATATTCATTCACAGTATTTATATTTATTTTTCAAGCTGTCAAGAGAAGCTATTTCATGTCTAAACAGCACAAGCTAGTGAAGAGTTCATGCCTTAGCACATGTTCATGAGCAATCTAACCAAGCATACTCAGTTTCTCAGTGCAGAAAAAGCCTCAGAACAATATTACAACCCCTCCCTTTTTCTCTGCCTCCAGCAGCCAAGCTCATATAACTGTTATTCACATCAATTTCCTTATGCCATACTCTTCAATTCCTCTTCTTCCAACTCCCCACTGTAATATCAATTAATATTTATAAATTTTACTCTGAGATTATGATTTAAAAAAAATTCTACCTAACACCCATGAAATGCAAAATTAGATTTCCAAGTAACTTCTGTAACATATTGTTTTTGTCCTCCTTCCGTTTGTACTCCACACCTGCATTATGATGACCTCTTGATCTCAGTCTATATAGAGTGAACTTTTTGGAGCAGAAATCTAATCCTTCATATATCTCAAAGATGCTCTAACAACAATAACCCTTCAACATCTTATTTGTAGTTCCAAATCTTTACCTTTTGTTTGTTGTTCATTGTGTGAGAGTTACTAGAATTCTCCTAAGAGGTTTAATCGATTTTATTAAGCTTACAGTTAACCATAAGAAAGGGGCTTTCAAGTTAGTACAGAATATAGATTACATTAAATCTGCAAGACTAAACGTGGGCCCATAGAGAAAAAATTTCCTATAGTCTGTCAGTTTAGCCTTGCCATTAAAAGTGGCACAATCAACTCAATTCCTAAAATATAGTTTTATTTAACTTTTCCCTCCCATAAATATACCACAGGATTTTTACTATCTTTCTAAGCCTGCATGCAGTCAGTTAGTAAAAGTGAGGCTTTCTTTAGCTGAGCAGAGGTCAATTAAATATTAGACTCCCTCTCCATTCTTCAAACAAATTAAAAAAAAAAGTAAAAAAACACTCATAACTTCTTAAAATTACAGTCTGCTGTAGTACTGCCTCAAAGTAAACAATAAGACACAACACCAGCTTCAGATGTCCGTACTGTTAAATGGCCATTGGAGTTCCACAAACACTACCAGAGATATAATGCAATTTTTTGACTAGGACATGAAAAATGACATACCAAGGATTTGATTTTGGTTTTCCCTTAGTATTGGCGTGTGTTAAACAAGACATGTACCTTCTTGGTGTAGAACTTGTTCAGTTGTGTCTCCTGGCCATTTCTTCTCCAGAGGCACAGCACTTTTGTTTTGGGGCAATAAGTCATGTTGATGAGTTTCTCATACCACCAACGCTCATACACAGTTCCAATGTTACTTCTCAGCACAATGCAATCATCACACACCTGGGAGTACAAAATCAAAGATGAGATCTCTGATACTATTTGCTGAATGCTACTGGTTTAATTAACATTTATTCTTGTTGCTACCTCCATGAAGAATATGTCTCCTGTTGTGTCTGTCCCAGCATGGACTACAAAAGTTTGGTGGGCCGCCTGCCACTGGGCTTGATAGAGAGCTCCCGGCCATTCTAGAGCAGAAAATATGCAATCGTTAATGAACTTTCATAATCAATTTCTCCTGATCTACTAAAAAAAAAAAAAAAAAACAGTAGGTGACACTGGAAGCATTTTTCAACGCAGAAAGAAAAAGAACATATATTCTAACATAGCTGATTGGAGATAACTTTAGACAAAGCCTTATGCAAAGAAGTCCAGTAAGTTTAGTTTCAACAAGAGTGATTATGAGAGTTATCATAGCATACAACAACACTCAAGCTGGTATCACACGCAGTGTATGACCATGAGGCATACGTTTCGATAACTGTTAACACTGCAGTAAACTGGTGTGTTTTCTTCCCAAAGAATAAAGAGTATTTCCTATTATTTCTGGGCACAAAACTAAGTTCCAGTTGTAAAAGTGCTCTGGAAAACTAGCTTTCAAAGGACATAATCTGCATCTGCTCTAGCAATGGTTGTGTTAATAGCTGGATAGTTTGATTAACCTATATGTTAGCCTATATTCTGAATGGGCAACACCGGAGGTAAGGTTTATTCTGCGTGGCAACTGATAGCAGGAATAATCGCATATAGAAACTCTCCCCCACAAGTCTTATTCTGACCTGGTAACTCACGAAAAACTAAACATTTGTTACAGTTTTAGTCAGAACAAAGCTTTTTCTTTTCCTCCCCATTCATGTATTTTCTTGGTGAAGTTAAGGCCATCTAATCTGTGCCTCTTTCTTAGCTGTTTAATCAATTTGGGTTTTCCAGTGTTCATCTCGTCTAGTTTTAAGTACCTCAAGCAATAGCATTACTCTTATCAGGGTTTAATAAATCTGACTATGTGTTTTGGGACCCAGAGAAGGGATTGTGAGAAAGCTTGTTTTCATCTATAATTGTTAGGCTAATAAAAGAGATTACCATTAACAGCAAACAATGATTTCAAGACACAGATAAAACATCTTGGCTAAGTTAGCACTAAAAGTTTGTCAAGCCTCTTAATTTTTTCCTTTTTGGATTCCATCTAAACAATAAACAACATAATCACTAAGGATGTCACAGTACTATCACTCTTACAAAAATTATCATCTGTCAGATTGCCCTAAATCAGAAGTTCCCAAAATGTGTTCCGCGCAGTGCGGCACGGTTAGGCAGCTATATGACCCAGTTGGGTCTACCTCACTATGCACAACTCTAGGATAAATACTTGAAAATATAAGCATACCCAAACTTAGTAGCTGACAGATACAAGAAAAAAAAAAAAGTGCCAACAAAATCAGAATCTTTACGACATAATGTCTTAAAGCTACTGATGAAGGAAACAATGAGATTGCTGTAATTGTTTCAGAGAGAAAGTTACCAGAAGGCCATCTAAGACGACAACTGCAGGATGCTGTAATACCAGATCGATCCTGCACTGATACTAGAACACCAGCTCAGAAACGTGAGCTGCTTGATTCATCAACTTTAAGACCTTGGACTGCACAGCTCTGCAGCATCGAACATTTAAAACAAACAAACAAAACACTAGGAATGGGAAATAGGAGGGCAAAACTTGATTTGTGAATAGGAACAGTGATAGAACATGGGAAATTTGAGAATTTGTTTATTTGTATGGTAGATTCAGAAATTGGGAAAAAACAAACATTTATGGATTTTTTTGAACATTGGGAATTCAAACCTACTGGGAGCAAGGGATGTAGAACCAGTTGTCTGTATACACAAAACGCAAAAGTTACCACTACTTAGTAAACTATCAGGTATCAGTTGATTTACAGAAGCTGTCAAGTGGAAGGTATTCAGACTTGATTTAACCATTGTTGTCTAAACGTTTGAGATTGCATTTACTGAAGGACAAGAGCGTCCAGATGGATGTGAGGCTCAGCTTACCTGACTAAATTCCTAGGTCACAATACTTTTTTTTTTTTTTTTAAATATATCTGAGCCGTTAAACTTTACGCTGAAGTAAATCCCCTCCCATTCCAACCACTTCTCTCCTCTTGTGAGTTCTCATCTGATTTGTTCATACAAGAAAAATTTAAGTTATTATTACTCTTTCATTAAATTGTTATTAGCCTACAACAATAACATATCTGATATAAAAATGATAATAAAGGAATATTAGGGTTGCACAGAACGCTGATACTGAAGTGTCATGTTTGTACATATTTATGTGGAAGCTCTAATCGATAATTGCGTAACATTTTATGAACAGCATCATACAATCACAGTCTTTATACCTTACATATAAAAGCAGTATTTAATAACTTCAATTTAATTATTTTTAATATTTTTAGTGTTGCACAGCCTTTACAGAAGAATTTTCAGGTAACTTTTTTTCTTCTGCTACAGCTCCTAAAGATAAATCATTCATTGATGTTTTACTTACCAGATTGGCAAGCTTATCTAGAATATCATTTATTTGCTGGCTGTGCACCAATCCAATATGTGATTTTCCCATTAGACGACGCACCTTTTTCCTAATATCATTTCTGTTCACCTAAAAAGCAAATAAAAGACAGTTATCTACTTTTCTTTAAGCATGGGCAACTCCTCCTCCCTCCCCATATCAACATATCTTGGTTCCACTGAAAAGACAATAAAACAGCAAATCTCCCACTCAGTTATGTTAGGTCCAGCTGCTGCATTTGATAGCATACTGCATCATAATCTTTTACAGCACTGGTACAGTAGAAATATGCACTACAGGTGTTTCCAGACATGACAAAATTTTAGATTGATTCTTCAGTGACTTTTGAGGGAGGATTTGGATTCCCTAAGAAACTATTCAGATTAAAGGAAAGGTATTGCTAGGAGTCACCTACAGCACTAAAGTGCATCCTGATAGTTTACTGAATGGGGACTGGGAAAGAGGCTGCTTAGCAGTAACTGCAAATTTCTTGTTGAGTTATTCATAGGCATGTTCACACTCTGCCCACGCTCTCCTTTTACTTCTAACTACCATAAGAAGATTTGGAATTTGCAGTTGAAAGGAAATGAGGTTAGGAGATGCTCTATGCCAAATTTATAACCCATGCCCTTAACAATTAAGGATGTACTCAAAAGGGCTAAAAAGTTTCTATTTCAAATGGCAATATATATGCATACTCATGGCATAGAACTGCATAAACTCAGACAACATATCTCAAAGAATCTCCAGGCACTGAAACTTTTTTTTTTCCCCCCCTCATTATGGTCAGGAAGCATTATATAGAATTCTGTCATCCTACACTGTTCTGAGCTTTTTGAACAGAGGTGCATGGTTTCAAAACAACGTTCGTAAAATATACTACTTAGATTTATCAAAAAGAAAAAAAGATCACCTTTATCATAAGCATATAAGCAATCATATTATGCAGCAGCGTAGCCAACAAGCGGTCCTCATCATCCTCCAAACGCTTTCGATCATGTTCTCCCAGGGAAAGATACCTGCAAGAAGAGCTGGATTTGAAGTAGACTCACAGGCATTCTTCATCCAATTCACTAAAGCACTGACAGAGGACAGAGCACTATTTATAGAAGGTAAGGTAAAGAAAACCTCCAAAAACATTAAGTCAAATGGGTATTTCCCAATAAGATGTTCTGATTGCTAATTAAATATGCCCGTTAACAATTAAGTAGTTAAAGTAAATAATATATGCTCAGTTGGAAACTTCTTAGTAGTCCACTGGGTCTGTTTCCTCTTTTCCACAGCTGCAGGTTCACGACAATTACAACTGCTTCAAGAGTGCCACAGAACTAAAATAACTTGGCTGTTTTAGCCCAGGTGAAATAACGAGTAGGAAAAAGGTCTACCAAAGAACTTCACCTGTCAATCATCTCCTGGGGTCCTTGGTCCATCCCCATTCCTTCTCTCTCTAACATCACAGCATCCAAAAAGGCATCTTCCCAGAACTGCATTTGGTCCCACAAAGTCGAGCGCTCTTTGCCTGCGCAGTGAATATAGGAAGTGAGCATTTATTCCAGTTAAACACTCGAAGATTAATTCCCCTTCCTTCCCACTCCTTGAAAATACCATAAGCCAACACACAAATAATCCATATTCAAAAACACAAAAAATACTTTTTTTAAAATCACAAGCCATATCACAACAGGAAAAAAAAAAAAAAAAGAGAGAGAGAGAGAGAAGAGAGGACATATCTCCTATTCTAATGCATAGCATAATCTTTTCAAAACCTCCCACAGAGAGACCTCTCATCCCTATTCTTTAAGGGCATAACTTCTTCCATCTCCCGTTAACATTGCCCCAAAGAGATAGGAATATCGCACACAAACACAGATCATGGTAAACACACAGAGAAGTGGAAAGAAGGGATTATTACTCATAGAGAAGGTTTCCATTGCAGCATCCTCTAACTGGTCCCAGACAGATCCTTTATCCCTACCTGCACCATTCCAAACAGGTAGAAATGAGAAAGAGAAAGGATGAAAAATAGGGGAAGAAAGCAAGCTCTGGATTAATGACAAGTCCAGATGAAATACATTAAAAACAAAAAAAACAACAATATACTCCTAAACCAAGGAAACATTCAAAGGGCCATTAGCCTTCTGAGTTTAGTATCCCTTTTTAATGGCTTAAGCTGAAGGATCTGTTTGCAAAGAACATCAATACACTTCAGCCTTCCACACATGGTGAGCTAAGCTGCTTGTCACCCCTTTTTTCCCCCAACAGTCTACAGCATGAATTCAAGTTCAAGAAAAGCATGGAACTTGGACAAAGTACATTTTATGCAAGTTACACCTCTCAGCCATCTTCTCTTACTCTTATTCAATCTCTCCAGCAAATCTCTCCTAGTCTGCTAGTATGGAAAACAATAAACGGTTAAAAACAAAGTATTTGGGAATGTATATATTCCAGCCTGCCACAGACATGACTTCATCTTAACGTCAGTCTATTTCCCCATCAAAAATAAGTTTACCCAAAAGCCCTTCATAGAGATAGACACGCTGGTTCCCATCTTCTGGACCTCTCCCTGGAGTACTGCCTTTGTTATCCTTCACACTCTGCTTCAGGTTATGAGACTTTGCCTGAAAATAATACAAACAGGGTCAGAAAAACTAATTTGGCAGCCTGCAGGATTGTTCTTGCAATCCCCTGCTGTAATTAACAGATGCAGCTTCCAAGCTATCTTTCATACGCACTTTTCCCACAAATGTTCCCAGAAGGAGGTTGCTCTGTTCACAGATCAAGGTAAAGCTATTAAAAGTCCACAGCCATATGAAGAAAAACAAAAAGAGACACGCACAAAGAAATCAGAACACAGAGGAAGCAAAACGTTTCCCTTAGGATAAACTGACGCAAAGCATAACAAGTGCAAATGGACAATCCCAGGCTAAGAGTAAAAAGGACTTCATACGCTACACAAGCAAGACATAAGGCCAAAGTGGTACCAGGGCTAGAGGAGGAGGTAGAAAGAGGGAAACAAAATTATTCAGAAGCCAATGAAAACTAATGAAAGAGAACACTTCCCAATAGAACCCCAACATAAATGAGTCATTAGTCAAATTATTCAGGATTGACCATGACGGTGCTAGACTGCTCTGTACAGCTGAGAAGCCGCACAGTAGCTTTCACCACGGAAGCGTATACAACTTGCACAGGAAGATGCAACAGAAACCTAACCATAACAGATAACACAACCAGAAATAACAAGAGTTCAAACTGTCACCAAGACCCAGGATGGAGAACACCATGTACATAAGCAACAACAGATTTCCAGAGTCAGAACATGTAGAACAGAAATACCGGACAGAATAAAGGATAGTATCAAGGTTTGGAGTTCAGTGATGGATGAGCTATTTGAATTCCCACACTTTGAAATAAAGCTGAATATCACTGTCATTTTACAGACAGGGAGGAAAGGAGGAACAAATATGTGACCTTCTCAGGACTACACAGAATGTGCATTTTCAAAAGCAGAATAAGAATACCCCAGTTCTGTCTCAAATTCATCACACTTTATATATTTATCTTTCAGTTATCATTCATAAAGGTTCAGCCACACAGTCAACTTACTGACATTTAACAAGTTACTACACATCAGCTGGTCTAAAGTACTGTAGGCAGGGACGACCAGCCAGCAACTAATGCAAGACAAAACAAGTGAGCCTTTCCATCTCTCTACCACCAGATAAATTACGTTGTAATACCTGACATTCATCTCACATCACGTACACTAGCTTCTTTGTTCTAAATCCCTGTTGCAGATGTTTTTAAAATTTCACTTAGCTTCAGTAATTGGGTTTTAAATTCCAGAAAACTGAAAAGTGTTTTAAAAAAGTCCAACTATAGAAATTGAGAAGACACCATCTTGCAACTAAACAGGCTGACATAGTTAACGTCACATTCATGCTCTCTGAAGAAACCTGCAGTGAAGCGTAATGTTTTTGTTCGCTGCTTAAAATTAGATGTAAATGACCGTGCAAAGGTTTTTAAGAATCTAATCAGGATTATAAAATAATGAACATAGACCAATCTTTAGGCATTGCAAGTTCATTTCATATTCGGCTGACAGCTCAGCTTAACCAAATCAGGCATATAACTGTTTTCTTGGTAAGAATATGTATATTAGAGGTTACAATAGTCAAAGGCTTTAAAATCAAAAAAAAAAAATCAAATGCCCTCAGACCACTTCAGTTTTAGTTCACACAGATTCACCAACTTGAAACAGATATTTAAACTTCAGACAGTATTAAAGTAATGCTTTAAAAGCAACAGAACAGCTGCTAAACCTATGATGGGTCATCATTTTCCTACAGCAAACAGCTTTTCCTACAGAACGGTATCAGTTCCTCTTAGTTAAGGTCAAAAAATGTCCATCAATGTTGTTATGTATCTGAAAGGGAATTAAATGTACACTTGGTTGAGAGTAACACTGAATGAGGGAGAATTAAATATTGTTAGAATCTATAACGTTGGTTGAGATGTGAATTTACTATTCTCAAAGGACCACATATTGCACAGGAAATAAAAATGGTTCATGGATCCATAAAAAATTTAGTTCTTTAATATTTTCATATTGTATAGTATATATTTGATAGTGCATATTGTAAGTCAGTGCTGATTAACCCTTACAATAAAAATCAGAGATCCTCTTCCATGCATGCACACACATTGAAATGATTACAGTATGAGATTTAATTTAAAGAGAAAAGAAAAATAAAAAAAAAAAGGAAAGTCTGGAGTGTCCTTACAAAGATAGAGCTAGTAGCAGAGTTTGTCTCAATTTCGCTGTCTGACACGGTACCCCTTGACCCTGTCAGATTGCCACCATTTTCCACACCCAGGCCATCACCAGCATTGCTACTTAAGTCACTGTCTGCTCCTAATGTCTCTCCAGAGCTGTTACTAACCTGTGGAGAAAAATAAAGCAGTTACCTTCAATAGACAAGACACTGTGGAAAGAAAAGGCATAAAAGAATAAGCAGTACAACTGAAGGCCACCTTTGGCTTCTCTTTTTTTAGTGATATGATCCTCTCATCAAATCCTGCTATGCAGAACAAAATGAAGAGACACTCAAAAAGCCTCTCAGGAAATATAAAGCCTCTCAGGTCATGGCAAGCTAGCTATTAACAAGTACACAGCAGTTTAAAGACGGAAAAAAAGCAAACACCTCCCCCCCAAAAAAGGAAAGTACCTTGGGCTTTATCCCTGAATATGCCACATCAGACAACGTGGGGGAAGGAGTAAGCTCATCCCCTATCTCTGAATGCATCCCTGCCACTTTTTCCCCTCTAGGCCCTACAGTTAATCATATTTTGATATGATTCAAGTGCTTTATGTTAATACACCAGAAACTCTGCACTTGCTCTTAAGGCATTGAACCATCTGCTTTTTTACTCTCAGGTTACACTTTTAAACTTTTATCGTTCACACACAATACTACATAGGACTAAGTCATATTTATAAAGTGATGCAATCTACTAGTCCCATGGATATACATATATGCCACCAATCCATAGGAACACACAACAGCAAAGAACATCATATATGAAGGATGCAATCTGCTAATAAAAGAGTATGCATACTCTGTCAGGCACACTTGCTTGCCATCCACTCAGAGATTCCAAGAGAGAACTCATCATAGACACGCTATTATGTATACATGGCAGTGTGCAGCCATGCTATACACAGAATGTATATACAAAATGCCCTCCCCCACTTTACCAACCAGTGAATCACGTCAAGCTTTCTCTTTAGGCATATCCTACCACTGTGCTAACTTCAGAATCCTGGCTTGTACTTCGGACCATAACTGCCAGTCCTCCACTGGGAACAGAGTCCAAATCACCCTTCTGCAATTAAACATATAGAGGGGACAGAAACAAAAGACACATTAGTTCAATTTTTTTCCATGAGGGAAGAAAAACCACTTCCCAGTCCTTTGGGTCTTAAAATATAGGCCTTACGTTTCCTTGCTGCATGAAGCCAGCTAAAGAGTCGCTACTGTCTACGTGTCAAATAGACCACGGGGTCATACAATTGATGAGTTAACAAAGATCAGTTCCCTAAAGGAAGGGGGGAAGAAGTGTTACTAAATAAGCCTTTCAGGAATTCTCTGACTCTAGAAGTCTTCCCACAATTCAGTAATAACTAGAAGAATCCTTTTACCTTATCATGTAAGTAAAACAAGCATAGGAGAGAGGAGGACTGACCTGAGAACCTGAGGCCAAACTGAGACCACTGTCGGCACTGATTTGTGATTTTTTCTCATCTGTTTCTCCCAAATCAAAGTGTTTCACACCTTCTGGCCCTGAGCAAAGGAAAAAGTAGATTATTGTATCAAGGAAAACCAGTATGGCAGAAAACATGATAGACTGGAAGCAGGGACAATACCACAAAAACAAATTTGCTTTCTTATTCTTCTGATTTCTTATTCCTTGGTACTGCAAAGAATAAAGCCAGCAGGAAACATCTGCCATTCTTCAAATTTTAGTCTGGATTTCAAATACTCCAAAGTCACAGCCCAACAGTGACTATCACTAAACAGTACCTTTACTAGCTTTTCAAAAGAGAGAAGAGGACAGACAAAGGTCAAATAACTTCCAGTTATAACACCACATGCAGAGCAGTTGCCATTCAACTCTGGGAAGCCACTTAAGTATCCTTTATTTTTATCAGGAATAAATTAAGTATTTAAAGTCAGAACAGTTTTCTGAGCAGCTAATTTGCTCAGTTTCTTGGCTGAGTTTGTTAGGTTGCCCACCACAATTTTCTAGGCAAAACATGGCATGAACACACAAAGCAGACTGATAACTGGTGTCACACTAATAAGAATTTCAATGAAGAGGCTTGTATGATGTACTTCACAACATTTGCCAATTATATAGCAAATGGCTCTCCAGAGTTTGCAATCACATAGGCCAGTAGTGAGAGAGGGATTCAGCAAGCCTTAAGTCATGCATTCATTAACCTATCCAGTCTGAGAACAAAAAAGGGGGGGAAAAAAAAAAAAACGAGGTAACTTTATGATCAATTCTCCATGCAGTTCTCAAATTGCATTATCTATTGTCCTCTGATGGGATGGCAGAAGGAAAAGAAGAGAAAGAAGGAGAGGTAGAGCCTGAAAAAAGTCTGGAAAGCACTGTAAGATGTAAGTAACAAGGCAGGAAAAGAATGCGCTATAGACTGTACACAGAAAACCACTAAGCTCAGAAAGGGGAAAAGACTGCACGCAATACTTCTGCCATATCCATATCTGCCAACTATTCAGTAACAGGAGGTCATGACCAGCAGCTGGAGTATCTGTATTATATACCCATGACTATATCCAGTATCTCTCAGCAAACAATGTCACAGTATCTTATAACCAATAATCACAACGACCTGGGAATTATGAATACGTTTATATTATATGTAATATTAGAGAGGGGGAGATAGTGAAAAGGAAAGAGAGAGGGAAGGGAGGAGAGAGAGAGAAGGATAATATACAAAGATTTGTGGGAGTGAGTTTGAGATGGTATGTAACTCATGAATAGCAAAGCCATAAGCGGGCTGTGCAGATTGTACTAGCTTTCTACTCAACCAAGAATTCTCCATGTGAAATGTTTTACAGAAAGTCTTTCATTTATTATAGTCTCCTGCATATAAATCCACATGCCTTAGTTACTGTAAGTCAAACTGTCAAAGTTTCTAATGTAAAAGAAAAAATATAAACAAAATTTAGCAAACATAAGACTAAAAATATCCTAAGAACTTAGGATTTTTATTTTCCACTGAAACGTGTCACATGACAAGTCTCTTATTTCCAGTCGTTCAAATTGCTACCATTTCTAGTGCTGAATTAATGATGCAACGTAAAGTTTTATATGTCATCACTACAGCAAGAACACTAAACTTCAGTCTTGTGTTTTTACTAATTTAAAAGTTCCCCATCCCACCAACATATTGACTTTCTGTCAGTCTGACTTTTGAAGTAAGTGAAGCTGACTAAATCAGTTCAGGAATTTGACAGGAGTGGGCAATACCGGTAACACAGTTTAAGGAGTGTATTAACCACAATCACATTGCTGTTACTATCACTCTACAGGGCCTTCCATCCCTCCACTTAGCTTGTTAGAGGAGCTGGATAACTATTACACATGAAACATCAAAACCCCAATATATCCCTTCTAATGTAGGCACCTAACTGAAGGGCCCATTTTGGGAGTAGGCATATGCATATGCTACGTGTCTGTCTCACACACACTCCTACCTTGGCAGACATCAGTTCAGATCTTAAATGCAGTAAGCTGTACTTCAGAGGTGGCCCGTTCTGAATTGGCTCCAGAGGCTCCCTTGCACTTAACTGAAGTATCTAACTGAGGAGCCCAAAATTAATATAACAAATCCAGGCCTAATCAGAACGCCAGTTATCTTTACCTGCTCCCCTTACTATTAATTCTCTCCCCCCTCCACTCTGTAAAAGGGGCATCAGCTCTGCAAAGCAGGAATTATGCTCTCTCTTACAGTTGGAAAACACCTACCATATCACAGTTGTTACAAGATATCTCTTGTCTGTATATCATATGTCTCTGTTTATAATAGCGATAACCAAAACAATAAAACGTTGTACTGCATCTGCAGATAACATATATATGTACTTCAATGGATTTTAAGATTCCTGTAGATTTAGAGACTACTATTTAGAGACTCTGCAAACAACCTCAGACTATCTAACTCACTCCTCTCTCTCAAATATGTGATATAGGAGCAAAATCAGGTTGATTCCTCATTATGAATCTATTCTCTAACAACCATCACTAAATACAATTCTTCACATACACCTTCTCTCTCCTCCTCAAAAGCAATTTCCTGTTTGCAGATTGACTGCAGTCAGAAACTAGCTATTCATAGTTGATGCCAGGTAACAAAATTTGCCATACCAGGGCTTGAAAGAACAGAGAATTCTTCACTCCACTAACATTCAATCAAACTACATATTCATGTTACGTACTTGTTGGGCAAAACTAGTCTCTTATTTTTAAGAAAAGACATGGAATGCCTTTTAAAATCATTCCATATATAGCTCATATTGTAAGGAGGCAGGAAGTCCACTTCTCCTTCTTTGAAGAGGGTAACATACGGGGAGTAGGAGGGGAAGACATTTGAATAAAATTTCCCCAGGGCAAACTGATCTATTTGGCCTCCTCTGTGATGCAGGCTTTCCCCTGGCTGATAACTCTTTGCTCTTGCGGGTATAAAACATGTGCCATAGATGCAAGCTCACCCTGCACCTGGGGAGTTGGCAGTTATGGGGAGGCTGGGGGAGTCAGTTTCTGAGTTTTATCATTTCCTTACTCGTTTTTTCCAAAGCTTTTTGCTTTTTCACTTCCTGGTGCTTGTTCCACAATTCTACCCAAGATGCATTGCAAGCAAGAGAGAAAGAGAAAGAGTCAGCGGCTGGTCAGACAGGTGAAAATGGGGAAAAAAAAATCTGAAGCAAAAAACCCCCCCTTCCTCCCCAAAAAAAAAAAAAAAAGCAGAAATTTATGACAACTACTGAGTGAAGGGTTAATTAACACCACTTTGCAAGATTTCAGTGTTAGGAATAGCGCGCTGCATCATTTCTCATTTACAAAATTCAAATGTTAGAAATTACTTCATGCAGTGAACCAACTAAGCAGAAACAGCTATTATGAACACAACATTGCGATTCATCTCCTTTCCCAAGACAGGACTTTAAGATTGTCAGATATTTACTCCTCAAAACGTAGGCACCACAGAAGCTCTAATTGACAGAAATGTTTTCATATCTCTAGTCTGTAACTAGAAAAGAAAACGGCTGAAAAGCAGCAGCAGCAATTCCAAGAAAGTTAAAATTGCAGGTTAATACAATAATTATCTAACATTATATTTTTTAAATTAACACAGAGAAAAGTTTACAAGCAAAACAAATTATTTTCAGCTTGGCATTATTCTCAAAACATGCTTGACACTGCCTATCAACCAGTCCTTCACATAAAAAGCTGAACTCCTCAACATCCATTTGTTCCTATCAGGGTATGAAGAATGGCAAAATAGGAAAGAAGAAAAATGAGCGAGATAGTCTGCTTAATGCAACCTTCCAAAATTTGAATTAGGCCACAGCTCTCCAGCGAAGTCAAGGGATTCTGTAAGAGCATACAACACAGGAAAAAGGAAAAAATCTGGAGTTTGCATGCACTCTCTTCATCTGAAGCTTAGCCCTGAGACGAATTAATGATGGGGCACTTGCACTTTTCTATCATCCACATTCCTCAACCCTCTGAAATGCAATTATCTTTTGCGCTCAGAAACATTCAGTCATTCCAGGTGATGGCCTGCTGGCCCAGAGGCACTATTACAAGCTGGCATGCTTTACTGAGTCTGAATGCTGGGCACTGTCCTCTCTCACTAGCATGGTTGAAGCTGGGAATGCTACAGGGGCACAGACACTCTTGGAAAAGCAGCAAAGGGAAAGGAAAGGAAAGGAAACGAAAAGGAAGCACAATGTTCTATTGGTCTTCTAGGAAACTTGTTGCACAATTAGAAGGCTACTGAAAGTGTCAGGAACCCATTCCACCCTGCAAATGACAGAAATTAAGGCAAGAGGGACTCTAAAAATAATTCTATTTGGAAAAAAGGCCTGCTAAAAACAAAAGGAGAGTTACAATTACGGACAAAGGCTCCAGAATATTACCACTGGAAGTATCATGAGCAAGGAAAATATAAAAAGGGAGAAGGACTAGAAAGATGGCTGCTAGCCAACTGATTTCTATTTCTGCTTTGTGATTGATGGACATTCCTTAAACTTTGATAAGCACATAGACGGATAACATCGCAAATCACTTAGGGATCTAAACAGCATCCGTTAGGCTTATCTAGTTTAGCATACACTGACAAACACCAACAATCCCTTTAAAAGATGTGTTCAATTTGTTTATTACAAAGACTTTGAAAACATCCAGCCTCTTCAATTCTCAGTCTATATGGTTTTACTTTAAAAATCACCAGTCGGAAAGCTACAATACCTGCTATTAATCTGTTTTCATCTGAGTTGTCTGTTAACTCAGTATTTCTTAGAATTATTCTGCCTTAAAGTTTAATCTATGTCAAAGGAGGCATTGAGAGTCCAGAGTGTTTCCTGGCACATTAGAAAGAGCCTACGTTTTATTCTCAACTATCTTATAAAGGAGGAAAAGAAAAACCTCCAATAAACTCTAAAGGCAGAAAACATTATGCCTATGTTCTATGAGCCTGACCTGAACAGGATAGCAGGTCCAGAAAGGATCTCATATAGACAACTTAAAATAGGTAGCACAATCTTTCCTGTTTGAAAAAACTGTAGGATATCTATTGAGCTGCAAGCACTAAACAACTATTTAAAAAAAAAAAAAAAAAAAAGCAATGCAGACTTCAGAAAATACTGAAATTATCATTGACAGCTACTGTAAGCATGCAATAAAACTAAACCAGCCACTAGCACAAAGGGGGAAACTATCAGCTATCAACTTCAAGGCCATCAGTGCCCTGATGAAAGGTCAGCGATATAGGTAAAGATCATGGTAATTAGAAAAATACAAGAACCCTGGAAGCAAGTAAACAACTGGTGGTCTTTTAGGAAAGGAAGGACCAGATACCATCATCCTCACAATCAATTTCCTAGCTAAGCAATTTGGGCATTAAAGCAAAGCAAAGACCAATCCTCGACTGATAAAAAATTTTTTACTCTTCACCTTACAAGTAAGAACGATGACTACCAACAACTTTCCCCGTTATCAGTACCACATACTGAAGAGATAAATAGGCAGCCAGCTGCCTTCTGAAAAAGAACAAAAGGGCTTAAGCAAGAACACATCCACCTTGAACTTTTGAGAACTCTGCTAACCTCCTGGCTGCGGTTCCTGTAGTGCAAGAAAAACATACAGTTACGATATCTCTCGATCTCAGAGATTCAGTTTGATTGCCATATACACACAGTGCATGTACAGCAGTTTTTGGGAACAAGGGGTTGTACATGATTTTACTTGATCATGCTGATGACCTACTTTCACTCCGGCATTTCCTCTTTTAGATTAGGGCAAATGGTGTCTCTATTTACATTTTGTCTACACAACACCAACTGATTTATTGAGAATTTTATTTACATATCTGTAACTTGAGGCTGAAAGTACCATTCAAACTTCATACAATCACAGAATTGCTGAGGAACCTCTGGAGATCATCTAGTCCAACCCTCCCTCAACGGAAGCAGGGACAACGAGAGCAAGTTGCTCAGGACCATGTCTATTTGGGTTCTGAATATCTCCAAAGATGGAGACTCTACAATCTATCTGGACAACCTGCTCCAGTGGTTTTTTTTTTTTTTAATGTTTAAACAGAATTACTTGCACATATTTTGTTAATTTAGTAACATTTAAATTTTTACCTAATGCTGCTTCCCTAAAGAAGGAGTTGGTTTAAATAAGAGGAGAATCTGCATTTCACTCCAGACAAGATTTCAGCTTAGTCATGACTTTGACTCTGACCTTGTATATACAAGGTATTGTCATTTATGGGAGATTCTGTAAATGACCAAAAAGGAATAACAACACCAAGCAGCTTTAAATGATAATCCTGCAACACAGGAGAAACTTCTCTTTACTTACAGATCCCAAGAGTCAGACAAACACGGATACTACACTGTTTTTACAGTAATTTCTTGAAGATTGATTTGCACAGCAGTTCATGGCAGGAGATAAAAGCAGTTAAAGAGATAGATAAAAAGGTTTCAGAAAAAATATGGAAGTTTTTCAGACTGGTCTTGTCCAGATTTGGTGAAATCATATCCTTCTTGTAACTTATTTCCATAAAGACAAGTGCTCAAATTATTAGAGCATCAGAACCACCAATAAAAACTTTCCTGTTGCCTGTCCTTGAACACTATGAAATTGTTTAAGACTAATATAACAGTTTTAATAGAGTATATTAAATAGTACTTCTTTTGCAAAGCACTTACGATGCTTCACACTCACAAACTGTCTGGGGTCCCTATGATTTCCCCTTTCATGAAGTAATAATTTCATCCGAGGGAAAGGAGCTGACTGAGCAGTCTAATCCAAAGTAGCTCTTCATTCTTCACAAGGATTCTGACCCAGAGTTTGTTTTATTCTTAGTTATGTCAGAAACGTACCTGCCTTTTCCACTTTTCTATACAAAAGCGATTAAATAGCCCAGAGCCAACCAAACCACTAAGTTGAAATGCTGGAAATCTGAACCTCTTTTAGTTCCCTGGGAGATTTCCAGAGTGAAAGCCTCTTGTTTCTGTGCAATTGCCTCCATGGATAACCTCTTGAATCAAGAAAGCAAATCAAGTCAGAAGGACTCAGCATCAGTTCGGAAGGCCTCAACCTGCAGCTATTGTTACCTGGATACAGGAAAGAACATCTGAAACGTCTGTGCATAAGCACACCGTACACACATTCCCTTGTCTTATACAACATACTGGATGTATAGCCCCACTGTAGCCCACTGCTTTTAGAAGAAATCTTTCATACAACGATATCATTAGAAAGCTTTTTTAAACAGAATATAATAAGCAATGGCTAAAACTTAGTATGACATATTTTTGGAGCTGATACAAGGGTTTTCCTCATCTGCTGACAGTAGATTTCTCTTGCAAGCAGGTCGGATCCAACCTAAATCTTATTTTTTCCCCCTTACATCTACAAAGCCCCTCCCTGCCTTTTTTTTTTTTTTTTTTTTTTTTTTTTAAGTAAAACAGAATTTTATTTTCACTTCTAAGCTTTTCCCCAGTTGTTTTCTTTGTTTTCCAGCTATGGAATATGAGTGGAAAATTTTCTAGTAGCAAGCCTAGCAGATGCTGTTTAGAAGGGCGAGCATTCTATTTGCCGCTGCATAGAAGGAAGATCCATCAGTCCTAATCCCTGATACTATAAAGCTAAAATTCATACATATAAGGAATGAAATCTTTGCTAAGGTATTTTTATTATTAACAACTAGTAGATCCTGAGTCACATTTCTATCAGGATTCACCCTCGATAATCTAGATGTAGTCAGGAATGAAGATTTTTGTTTGTTTGTTTCACATTGTCACTTCCATACTTGCCCTTTCCAAAGTCCTATTGGCTCCATATCCCTTTGGCCATTTCCTGTTACTTGAAAACATCAGCCATAGAGGAAAAAACAAAGTTGTCTGAGGAGTAATGATATTCAGAAACAATTAAAACTAGAAAGCTTTGGGGAGAAAGCTGCCCTGGAAAATATTTTTCCAAGAGCAAGAGAAAACACACATGATTATTCCTTGTGATCCAAGGTGTAAATGAAGCATGTTACAGTAGCAATGTAGTGTATTAAAATGAAGAAAATGCAAATAGAACCTAACGCCAAGACAGAAGCCCCTCCTGCACTTCACATACACCTCAGTACACACCAATGGAAGCAATAAAGTTTTCTTCCTTCAGACTCCTCGTGTCAAACTCCCTTGGCCCCTTCCCTGCAGGGCTTGGTGCCTTTGGCATGAGCTGAGGTACTGGGAGTTGCATCACAGGTTTTGGCTCTGCTCTCGGGGTTGATGCAGGATCCTTGCCAACTGGAGTGACAGCGCCATCCGTCGGACTTCTTTTCCTTTTTTCTGGTTCTTTAAAGACAAAGAACAAAGCATTGCAAAAAAACGTTAAGGGAGAAGGAAAAGATTAAGGGAGGACAGTCAGGAAGGAAAAGACAGAGGGAGAGGATGAGACAAATGGTCTCACCTACATCATTAAAGCTGGCACTGAAATAGCTCAGTCCCACATTTGATCCCATTGGTCAGCATGGCTTGCAGGTAGTCTGACAGTGATGGAAACAGTAGAGGAGAAAGCCCGAATGCTGGTTTTGGGATACCCAAATAGCGCTCTCTCCTGTATATTGGAAACCTGCAAATCTTCTTTGGCACAGTAAGCGTGGTATTTCTTCTGCCGAGTTGTGCAAAATTATAGAACAGCCTAATCTACAGAAAACATTGCTTCCAGAATATAAGCATGTTCCTCTTACAGTGAAAAGAGGACAATCATCTACGCTGGGTAACACTGAATGAAACTTCAGTTAAAAAAACAACAACAAATCCCACACATCAGCTATAGTATTTCCATCATTCTCCCAGACTTCCTATAATCATATGTTCCCAAATACAATTTGGGCCATTTCTCTGTTAATAACCTACAATTTGGATTACAGTAAAACTTTCAGAATAGAATATTTAAGTTAGAATTGATTCTCCGTAAAGAAACTCCTGCAATTCCGCACAAATATTCTTCAGCTATTCTTCCAATAGCTGATTATGCTTACAGTGAAAATTTCACACCCTGATGCTTAAGTTTGTCTAGCTACTAGACCTTGTGAAACCTTTATCCACTAGATTAAAGATTTTGCTATCAGTGCCACCTTTCCATAGAGATAATTATAGAAAGAGATCAATGCCTAAGGCTCAGCAGATTGAACACTACCATCTTTCAGAGTAGAAATGTTCTCCCAATTCCTTGCAGCTCTTTTCAGAAACCTTCTCAGCTTGTCAGCACCTTTGCGAGGTGCAACAGTCAGAACTGGAAACACTACACCAGCTATGGTCTTGCTGGTGACATATCCAAAGACAATATAACCTCTGCATCCTAAACCTGTATTCCCAAGTTTACATAAGAAACAACAAAAACAACAAGCCTCCCCTGACACACGTTGGTTTTCAGAGAGATAATGTAACATTGGGAAGTTCACACTTCACTGCCACTTTCCGAGACACTGCTTCTTAGGATACAGTTCCCCATTCTGCTGTCACTGCCAACTTTCCTTGTTCCTCAACATGTAACTTCAGTTTGACCATATTAAAATAAATTCATCACAACCATGTTTTGCTAAGGATCTAGAGTCCCCTAGACAAATAACCTATATCCATCACACCCTGTTCCAACAGGATTCATCACATGCAAACGCTGAACAATTTTATGATTACTAGATCACTACTTAATATTGAATAGCATTAAGATGAATGCCAACCTACAGATCATTTCTAGAAACGTATCTAGATTAACACATTGAAATCAGACTGGAGATACTATGTAGTTAAAATTTGACTATAAATCAAGATGTCATGCAATAATGAGAGAAGTGCTTTAAAGATGCATCAATACTTTAAAAGTTTCTATCCATGAATTGTTGTGTGTGACAACAATTAATTCACTTTAAGCTTTATTTACTATCAAACTATGGTGTTTGGCACTGTATTAGTATGACTTCACTTTAAAACCATTGAGCTTTGCACCAGCCATTCAATAATTTTGCTTAGGAACAGTGTCAGCCTAAAAAGGCTTGTAATTACTAAAGTCATCCTCTATCCCACTTTTGGGATTGCTACACCAGCACAGTCCTCCTGACCTACCTCAGCGTTCTAACACGATGGGAAACGAATACCAGTAGCCCACAGAGCATGTGAGCTCATCAACTCATAAGATCCCTGATGTAAGCCATCCAGATTGCCAACTATTATAAGGTGTTTGATAGACGCCACTCCTCTGCTACTGTGAAATAAATAGCTTTTCATCATATGAAATTACAACTGAGTCAAATATCTAAATATAGAGGTGGCATTTTATTATCTTTTGCCCTTTCCCCTTATGCATCCATTTTATTTTGTCTTAAAAATCAGATTTTAAGAAAAAGTAGAAGAACAAAGAGGTACTACCTAAACCAGACGTTCCTCTATAAGAGCTCTTAGCGATATAAGAATTACTGTGTCATGCAAGGTGGTTGGTACAATCTGAAAGTCTGGTATGGTTTCACATTAGAAATGGCTCCCTCCCTATTCAGACTGTCTGGAACGGCTTCCCAAGACTGTGGATGGGACAGTGTCAGCTGAAGGTCCCCACTCGGAATTTCTACCATCATCTGTAAAAGTCCCAGGTTTTTTAATCATGCTGCATAGTTTACATTTTCAACCAAAAAGTCAGTATGGCCATTATTTTGCTTTGGTCAGCTGCATGCGTGTAAGAATTGTTTCAAGCTCTGTTAGATTTCAGTAACAATGGTACAGTTCTTACCCTTTTTCAAAGTAAATACCAGAAGCCACAAAACAGCTAACTTTACGATAAGGAACTTGTTTGCCTCAGTGCCCTATATTCTCATAAACACATTTCTTACCTTTATTGTAATAGTGAGTGTGTGCTATCTCTAGCAGGCCAAAAACACTGGCCATGCCTCCCAGGCCAGCATTTGCATATGACTGCTCCAGGCTCAACACAGTGCACTTCAGCAAGTCCAACATGCCTTTGTAAACCTTGCGGCTGATCTCCTACAATGAAAATCCCAGTAGCGTCACTATTTCAGAAGTGAGAAAGTCATTCAAGAACATAAATTCCAAAACAGTTCTGTAATGTCAGCTTGTAAGGGTTAATTTAACACATTGTCTTTAAAACCTTCTATGAATTGAATCTAGGCATACACCAGGTATGAGGACCCTGCTGAGTTCAGCACTGACCACATCCTGTATGATGTCCTGTCGAGCATCTTCTTCTGACTGGATGGTGCGATTTAGCTTGCTTAGTACAAAGACACGGAGTTGCTCGCTCTCCAGCAGACGCCGGACTCTCTTCATGTTCAGCCAGCCAACACCCTGCCCATCGAGAACATTGTGTACCACCTCCTTCAGGAATTGCTGGTTCTCACTGATGGATATATAGAGAAAAACACAACCAGGCAGAAGTTAGCCCTCTGCTTCACTAGGCTTGCATGGGAAGAGATATATGGCGAGGACACATATGTAAAAAACGCACTTTGAATCAAAGCTAAGTTTACAAGAAAATAACCTCAGCTTAGCTAGGCATGCTGCTAACTGCACACAGCCCAAGCTCTGTTCTGTAGCTGTGGTATCAAACGTTTTACGTTGCCCCTTATTTCCTGTAACAAGCTGTAATCAGCTTTTCCCCAGCCCCCTCTGTCTACTACTCTACTCCCCACCTCCACAGCAATCCTCAGAATCCACAGGAATCTCTTATACCACAACCTTTGCCTTGTCCTACCTGTAGGTTTTCCTTGAAAGGTGAAGGGCAACCCTACTAACAGTACTAGTGCAGCAGCCTTGTTGGGTGTACTGCTTCAGCTTTCTTTGCCACAGGGGAGGGAAGAGTAGGAAGGAGGAACTCCTGTGCAGCCTGCTGTGTCCCCCCCCATACAAACTGCAATTTTTGTCCTTGTTTGCCTCCCATCCCTATTAGCTTACAGTAAATTTCACTCCATGCATGGCTGTTAGGGAAGAAAGGGAGGAGAATGCAGAGGCACAGGTCAGGTAATGTTTACTTGCACCATGCCGAGTCCCTTCCCAAGGCTGAGAAAAGTACTTCTCATGAACTCAGACCGCTCCTTGTGACTCAACTGATCCCCTGCATGGTCCGCTAAACCACTACTGGCTAGACTACCTCGTTTAGAATAGATTCAATTACAAAGATGAAATACTGAGTTAAAGCAGGGTCTTTCAGGACCTAGAATCTTTTTGAAACTCAGACTGAAAGAGGATACCCTGGAGCAGAGAAAAAAGCACATATGTACTATTAACTGAAAGGCCATGCACACCAAATCTTTTCAGACAACCATGTGTGCAAGCTTAGGGCCACAGAAGAGTACAACATACTTTTTAACAGTTACTTGGCCGCCGTTTCCTTAGGAAGTTGGAGACCTTGGTAACAACAAAAATCACCTGGAATTGCTAGTTCGTCCCTGAGGTGATGGAGATTCTCTCTTCACTGTTGGGCTGTGCTTAATGACTGAAGACTTTTGATCCACAAGGGCTCGCCTGTTCCCTAAACAGGGGAGAAAACAGGATAAGAGGAAAAGGGGTGGGGAAGAAAACAATCTGTTCCCAGAACAGTAACAAGCAATGCTAAGGTTGGCTAACACACCTATTAGGATTACAGATAACAGACTTCAAACAAAATGGAAACTCCAAGAAAGCAGCAGCATATATCGTATTCTAGCATCACACATCGGCAGAAAACAGTAATGGGAGTAATGCAGAGAGTAATGGGAGCAGGAGGTGAAAGGCAGGAAAAGTTTGGCTGCTCTGCATGCAGTTCCACAACAAGAATCATCTTCAAATTAGTCACTATATGTAAAAGCATAATGCATTGGGGGTGACTAGTATAGACCATGTGATACTGGTTACCCAATGAGAAAGGTAGCCCAAAGTCAGGCATAAGGAATGCTGGAAATTGGTATATCATGCACAGCTCATGCTGTAGGGAACCCACCTTCATTGCTTACTGGGCCAGCTTCAGTAATAATCTCCATTATAGTATTTAACCCAAATACTGGGACACAAAATATATAATTAGTAGTGTACTACAGTATCTATACTCCCCACCATCAGCATCAAAAAAGGAAAAAAAAAAAAAAGAAAAGAAAAGAAAAAAAACCACACACTACCAGCTTCTTCCCAGCCCTCCCTCAAAACAAAACCCAATGACACTAGAGCAGGAAGGACGCTTGAAAGCCCAAGACAACAAGGGCCAGCATAATTAATCTAATAGATAGTGCTTGACTTGAAATTTGGCATCATGAAACCAATGTATTGCACCTCCAAGGGCACTATTGCACACACTGCATTTCAAGGGCACTATCAAAAACATCTGCATCACTGAGGAAAAAACAATATCAATGGATGTGCATGAAATAAAAATTACAAAGGAAGATGGAAAGTCAAACAGCAGCAATGAGATGGAGTCCCAGCATCATTTCCCATTACAGAGTTACAAACACAGGAAACCAAACACGCTTGATAAGAAAAAAAGTTACTCAGCAATTTTGTACCCTTACAACAGAGGCCAAAAGACACATTCAAAAACCCGAAGTGCCCAGTGGGAACCCCAAAGAGCCAGCATGCACACATAAGTGAACACAAACACATACACACCCTTGCACATGCACAAAATAGACCAAACTACTCCACAGAAATCTCATCCCCGTAGCTGCATAGTAATATTAAAAGGCCCTACAGCATTACAGTCATTAAGAAAAGAACACCAAACTGCAGAAGATGAGGCACAAAGCACGAACATGGAATGGCAAAACCCATCACTGTTTTCTTCCAATGCATGGAATCAGTCATTAAGAAGTTTACCCATGAAAGTAACCCTGACTTGAAGCATGCTTCTTATCCTGCACAATTGGACATGAAAACGTAACCAACTGGTAGAATGCTGTCAAAAAACAGCTGTGCAGAGTCTCTGCTAGTGTTTTCACCATACCAGTCCTGTTCCTCCTCATTTTACACATAGGGAATGATTACTTGTTCTCAAAACAAAGTCCAAAGCAGAAACACAAAACCCAGCCTTTGGCCTTTGTTTCTACAAGGTCAAAGGTCAGCAAAACATCATACCAACCTTCATCCACATCCCTTCCCACTTCCAGATTAAAGTAATCTTTACCGATGAAAATGATGAGGAGGAAAAAAAATAAATAAATAAACCAACATATTAAAACAAAAGCAGTAAGTTCTAATCAGATAGAATAACTCAAAAGGCAAAATAAAACCTTCCCCCAGTTCACCAACTGAAAGGGTCTCAACACCAAAACACTACCACGTCCGCAGTTGCCCTTCTACTATCACACTCAGTGCAAGGATGACCAGGCTAACACTAATTCCCTAGTGTAAGAAGGTAATTTCTCTAGTCTCTGTTCAGTCACGTTATCTAATGATACTGCAGACAAAGAGAAGACGTTCCAGCGTAAAGGTTGTGCCCATAAGTTAGGGACCGATCTTCATTCTGAATGAGCCAAAGTATAGCTAACTTTATACTATTTTTAGTATAGCACTTTAACTTTGATCAGGTAATTTTCCATTTGGTGAACTGAAAAGACTATTAACATTTTTGAAACCTACGTAGACCTCAGTCTCCACAGGAGGTAGGCAAGCCTTATCTCCACTTAGGAACGGGGCATCACTGAAACAAGTGGCCTAAAGCTAATCATGAACATAGTGTCAGTGCAAAAGTAGAACCCAGACCTTGGTTCCCATTCTTTATGCCAAGTATTTAAAAGTAAAACAAAACAAAGTACAACAAAACTCAACACTCACTCTGTATCCATTAAGATGGAAACTTGCTAACCTACCCTCATTCCGACACAGCCTAATTGTTGGGAAGAAGTCCATCTGAGAAACAGACCCAGCAAAAGAACTAAACCAAATGACCAAAAATGCCTTCACCCCTAAAACACCTTTTAGGAGTAAGTCCTCAGACTGCTCAGTCACAAGAATTGTAAAGGCTGTAGGAAACAAAGGGAAAAATGGTTACCTTTCAGGCTGGGAAAGGGAGTATTCTTGTCTCTCCCAACTTTGGTTGGTAGGGCTAAGTTGGACAGACTGAAACTTGTGCTGTGGTTTCTGTACAGGCTGCCTATGGCAGAAGAAGAAAACAATTAAATGCTTAATGCTCATTGCACACACTCAAACTTTTAAGATTTCCTGCAATTCACCTTTTTATTCAAGGTCTGTAATGATGGAATACTTCTTTATTCTCTAGAATTTTAGAAGCATGTCATTTCATTTTTGATGCAACCACATCTGTAATTAGACTATTCTGAACTGTATAAAAATCTAATTCATAGCTTTTATGTTGCAATTATTGCCATTGTATCTTTGAGTCTTGTATCAACAATGTACTAACAACATCCACCTGCCTTCCTGCACTTATGCAGGTTATTTCACATCAACTGTGTCTTCTAATTTGATTCTCTTCCTAGGAGCAAAGGAATGGTAGGGTCCACATGAGAAAACAGGATGACAGAAAATCTCCAAAGTATGTAAGCCTGAAGTGAGGACTGTGCATAGAGCCTTGTGAAACCATCAATCTGCCACAGAAGTTTGCTTTAAAATAGAAGCTCTCCATTTATAGTAAGAAAACACAATAAAAGTTTTTCCTAGCACTGATGGGTTTTAGAGATCTTAATTAACATCACAATGCACAGTCATCCGGTTAAGTCTGCAGACAGCCTGAAAGCATCTCACGTGGACCAACAAGCTGATTAACTCTAACACCTCAAGATGTTCATTTAAAACATCAGCATAAGTACTTAGCCTGCTTAGGTTATCTTTTCCAGTCTTATTTTAATAATAGTCATTTCACCAGAAACATCCGATACGCTTTCCCCACTGCCACAAACTCCTTCCCATGCCCCCCACGGTAGCACAAGACTCGACTGGTCATATTTTCTTTCATTCATCAAAAAACTCTGTATTAACAGTTTTCCATATCAGAAGACTATTAAAACATAATTGAAAATTTCTGATCTGCACCTTAAAGTGCCATACAACTCAATAGCCTAACCATATAATGAGTGCTCTAGGTATTTTTCAATAGGAAGTTCTTTGGTTAGCAGCAGCAGAAGTTAAATAGGTTCTGTGGCTCCTAACATGATTTCCGGAGACCTGGTGATGATCAAATAATCAAATCATCCTCTTGACTAGCCACCTCTCTATTGCAACTCTCTGTAATCTCTAACATGAAAGAAAAAAACAGCTTAAGCAATGTATTAGTACATACTAGCAAAAGACATGATGCCCCCAAAACCTTCACTGCTGTTGTTGGAGACGGTAGAGTTTGGGGAACTGGCCCTGGAGTCTGAATCTGCATCAGAATCATTGGCTAGTTTCAAGCTGTTTGGGCGTAGCAGCTTCTGAGACCTTTAAAGAAATAAGTACAACAGTTATCAGCGTTTTTTTCCCAACCAACAGCATCATCTCCCACAGTCATACAAGGTGGTCTCATTCCTCATCAGTTTTCACCACACTACCCTTAATGTGGCAGCAGGGGTGGGGTGGGGGGTGGTGGATGAAAAATATTTGTATTTAGGCTTTTATTACCTTTCAGGGCATACTGAAAGTTTGTCTGCTTTGGGGGCTCTGCTTTGAGAGTAGTAACAAGAAAACCCAACGTTATCAGTCACTATAGTGTCAAAGTCCCTCATATCTTACCCCCAAGAGACGAGGCTTCACAACCAAAATTCCTCAGAGATTTCCAAGAATCAGCAGATTATACCCTAGAACATTTCTAGGAAACATTGGTAATTCTGTTAGCCCCTACTGATTAAATAAAAGCAAGGAACCGAGGGAACTGAGCAACTGCCTGCAGTCAAACCAGAAGGGTTTCCAGAATTTCAGCATTAAATGGCAGCGACCAACAATACACTTCGGATGCAAAGGCCATTTGAGTGAATGAATGTTAAATCACATGAAGCAAATGGAAACCCCAACACTGTTGTAGAGAAGGGCAGGAGATAGGGAGACTTGCCTGCTTCCGTTGAGATTCTGGTTAAATCTTGGGGTGTAACTCTCTTCCTGCTCATCATCCTCATCCTCTGTAGGAAATCCATACTGTGGTTCAAAATATGGATTGTCATACTCTCGCTTCCTCACCACCCCTTCTGTGGAGCTCATGCTGCCAGCTGGGCTGTCGCTCTCACGACGGTCCAAGCTCATCTTGGGAAAGCTTGATTGCAGTGGCAAGGAAGGGAGATGGTTTGAAAACCCAGCAACTATCTTCTCTTCCATCTCTGCTGAATCTGCTGACTCCTGTGGGCCAGTCAAATCATTGATCTGTTTGCTAATTTGTACTACATACAACTGAATGGCAGGAAAAAAACAATTATTTCAAACTGGGCAGTCCATAGAGTCCTTGCAAATGACTTGCAACCCCATCCCAATGCCACTATTAGCGGTTCTAACCTGGGGTTTCATAAACACGGCAGTATTTGTGTAAGGGCTTACTCCTCTATAAAATACATCTGCTAAGCGTTAGCTCATTAGATAACTGCTATTCATTATACTGCTTTGTGGCTACGGAAGCTACTCCCATTCTTCTTAAATGACCACAGATTCATGACAGTTCCCTCACACACTCCTCATTCCTCTAACACATCAGATCTTTCCAGGCTGTTTAAAATCAATTCTTGCAGTCACATCACAGACCTCTCTGTTAATACAAGCTCCCACGCACTGAAAAACGCGTTATGTACAGAAATGCTCTGTCCCAGCACAGGAAGCTACCATGAACTCAACTTTGCTCAGAAAGTCCAGAAAGAGTATGCAAGCTATTCTGCACACAGTTTTGCATTCCTATTAGCTTTTGCCCTCCTCAAAAAGAGCCACCTGCATTCTCCCCTTCTGCACATCCCAATACCATGTCTGATCTCTGGGCTGAACTCATCCCAGTACACACATGATTCACTCCATGGATGACAGTGCTGGGGCTGCTACTGGCTGTAGTGCTGGAACTTGAACGAGGCTGGTTGTTCTCTTGGGAGTTCTCACTGTCCATGGCCTGTTCATCCAGATCCCCTGAATATTCTTGAAAATCATCAAATTCCACTTCACTGGCATCACCAAGGGCTGCGTGAGTCAGGGGATCAACATCTGCAAACATATCATTTTGCATTACAGTACTGCCTTCTGTCAGTGATCTTTAGATGAACAAGAGGCTGAAGATAGGAACTCCTCAGTAGAATATAGAATCACAAAAATTTAGGTTAGAAAAGCCCTTTGGAGGTCATCTACTCCAATCCCTGCTCAAAGCAGAGCTAGCTTCAAAGTTAAAGCAGGTTGACTGGAGCTTTGTCCCACTGAGTTTTGAAAGTCTCCAAGCTGGAGATTCCACTGTTTCTCTAGGCACCTATCACAGTGTTTAACCAGGCTCACTGCAAACAGCTTTTCCTCATTTCCAAGCAGAATTCCCCTTGCTGCAACCTGTGATTACCTATTGTTCTTGGGGCATGGGAAATGCGTTGTGGTTTCCATATTTAGTTTCTTAAAGTGATAGTTTCTCACTATCGCAAGAGAAGCTATTGCTGCAGCCTCCATACAAACCACACAGAACTAATTTTCCTGTCCTCTTCTGGATGAGCGATTCATTAAAGTTAGCGCTTAGGACCAATACGTAGGGACAGGAGAAAGCTGGTACTCTGCTGCTTGCATTGCACCACATCTGCTGGCAGCAGCAGGTTGTTCCCAGACCTAGCAAGTCAGTTTTGTTCAGCAGCACCCAATTCTGCTCCTCTTTCTCCCAGAATCCTTTGGAAGATGTTGTTTATAAGCAGAAGTGTCTTTCTTTTGCTCTTCCTTTTGCTTTCTTTTTGATGTAGAAGGGCAAGTATAAGGTCTCTTCTATCTCGGAGCAAGACTATGATAGAGCTTGCTCTCATTCAGAGACTTAGAGGGAGCATTTTTGCCACCGCAAAGGGGAACGGGGAGGAAGAACCTACGTAGGCTTAGTGAAAGCAAAACCCAGAGTTACTTACTTGGGGTATCACCATTAATGTCACATTTCATCATCTCACTGACAAAGTCACCAAGGGAGGAGTAGGAGGAACTTGAGTCATCATAGTCGACGCTGTCACTGCCACTGCCACGACAGGTGAGAGAGAGATGAGAGGCAGCACAGCAACAGCAGGGCCAAATGTTTCAAAGGTGTGAATCAGCACTGATTAAAATCTCATATTACAGTCGCTATGATCAAACTTTTAGCAGGAGTTGGGGCTGGCTTTGTGAAAGGTCAGAGAAAACAAAATAACTTTGAGATAGGTGAAGAGACAACACAGGAGGAGATTTAAAGGTTTTCAGCAAAATTAATGAAGTCAAGCATAGGGGGGCAGTGTACGAACTCTCAGTGAAACTGGGGCAGCGAAACTTCAAAGGAACCGGAATCACAAGAGAAAGCACTTCCTTTTTAAACAAATGATAAAACCAACTCTGTCAGCATCACTAGTGCTGTGCAGAACACAAAAGGCAAACAATTCCCAGCCTGAAAAATCTCCGAGGTTAACAGAAAATGAAGGATAATAATATTAGATGCAAAACTCTGAGGAATATAGTCAAAATCACTATAACAAAAAAGCTATTTTCATTTTACTGAACATAAAAAAAAAGTCTCAGGTAGTGGGTAATACTAACAAGCTTTGCATAACTATGTGCTTTGAGTAGAGACAGGAATGAATGAAGTACTGAAGTAGGAAAAAAAAAAAAGCTGAGAAGGAGCAGCATGGAGGAACAAAACATTATGGTGGGAGGAAGCACACAGGTAGCAAAAGAAAGCAGGAAAACGCAAATGAAGAATTGTGTTAAATGAAGGCTTGAGAAGACACTAGCAAAGGGATCAGAGGTTGCTGTGCCAGAGCAGAAAGAGACAATCCACTCTGGCATCAGCATTCTGCCCAGATGGAAGAAAAGAAACAGTAACCTAGGAGGCTAGAGAAAAAGGCTGCAAGTGAAAAGTAGCAGAAGGGGGCCAGAATATCTGAAGTGACTATCATATGACTAGGGTTATGCTTCCCACTAACCTGTCATCAGTGGGATCAGAGTCTGTTTCCTTCTCTACTGGGACATTCAGTGCTTCAGCCAGCTGGGAATTACTGTCATAGACACGATAGTGGATGGGCTGCAGCTGGTGAGCATACCATTTAGGTTTGTCTCCAATCAATGCTGGGTCAAACATGTCTGCACAGAAAACAAGGACAGAGTTAATTGAACTCATTCATTTGTGTCAGAGGCCTCATTCACAGAGAGGCTACCCCTGGTAAGTCTTGCACAAAGGAGGAGACAATCTCTGCTCTGAGAAGCCTAAAAAACTTCTTCTCTGCAAGCAAACAAGACACAAGAGGTGAAAATAACTGGAAGAATGGGGGGCTAATAGCAGGGGTAACAGAGTAGAAACCCATCAGGACATAACACAAAAATAGAATAAAGTTCCTTGAACTGGAAATCCCTCCCCAGCAGGA